ACATTACTTTTAGTTATGCATAATTTTTTTAGAATAAATTTAATTTAATATAAATTTTACCTTTAGTTTATTTTACAGAATGATTAAACATTAATTTAATAATTTAACTGTATGACATTTTAGATATGTTAATATTTTAAAAAACTTTAATTTTTTACTAGTTCAAGTTTTACAAAAAGTACATTATAATAAATATCTTACAAGCGAAACCGTCTTTAAAATCCCTTGTAAATGGTAGTTTTCATAGCTTGTTGTAATTCACAATCTACGACTTATCGTGACAAAACTTTTAATTAAATTTCAGTTGCACTTGACGTGATACAGTTTAACATTTGAACACATTTTACCAGGGAACAACGATTCTTATTTTATACCATTAATCGACTTAAAATGCCTCAAAAAGTGTATAATGAAGGAATGAACATGTATGTAATAGGCAGAAGAAATCACCAGTGATCCCATTAAGCATAATGAAATATATTTTCTTAATCTTTATTAAAAGCCGACTCGATCTGGACATGTCCTCTTTGAATTTTTCGACTATTTCAGAGTATTGGTTTAAATATTTAAAACTTGTACGACTTATGATGGGTGCAGATTTTTATTTAGGGTATCTCGTAGTCGGTCGCTTGCGACTAGAGCATTCTTACTTAATTCGCCTTAAGCTCTTATTTAAATATGTACTGAATATATGCTGAATTAAAACCACAATAAAAGCGAGTGCAACACACGTTAATTAAGTTTATACTTATTAATACATTACATTCAAACTGCAATATCTTCGTCAAAAATTATCCAATATCCGAAGGCCTTTATACATATATTCCTTCTTGCTATGAAGTAATATAAAGTCACAAAAATGGAAATTACATTTTAAATATTTTAATACTTAATCATATTATATATGTGATGAAATTCAAAGATAGATGCAACTATAAATATTATAAATTTATTATTTTATTTACTTATGAAATATTTTAAAAATATTATTTTATAGATATTTATTATTGCCATTTAACTGTTGATCTTAATCTTTTTTTGTGCTCAATACAAGCTCGCAAAATGCTCGTAAATCTAATCAATTAAGTAAAATAAAAACCGCAAAAATTATCTGCAGACCTCAAACGGCAAACAGTCGTAGAAGAAGAAGCATAAGTAAATTACGCAATCTACTTAAACCCGACCTAAGGTTGCACACTGCGTTCATGGTTACCGGTTCAGGGTTCGGTTCAGTCTTATGAACCGCATTCAGTTTATGGCACCCGCAGTTCGACAAAACTTTTTCATTCAATTCACTTAAGTTTCTGTTTGCATTTTTGTTGCCGCAACATTTTCAACTGGCTGCGAGGTGCTTGGCTTTTTATTTTCTTTCTTTTTGCTTACCTTGTGGCCTCGATTCTTGTGCTACTTTGCTGCAAAACTTTCGTTGCAAAGTAAAACATGAAAACAAGTTCTGGCTCGACTACAGGGTCCCCTAGACCGTTGGTCCTGTTGCCGTTTTGTCGTTGCAGCTAATGGTGTTTATTGCATTTACTCTGTTGACACTTAAATCGGCACCACGAGGACAGAAACGGCATTCTATTCTGTGATACTCTCAACATGCCACGGACTGGAAGCCAACGAAGGCAAACGAAGGCAACAACTGCAACAAAACGCAAATATTCAGCAGCAACCGCAGTTGCACCTACAGAGGAGGCAACTCCAAGTCAACAGCAGTGGCAGTGTGCAAGAAAGTGCTAAGTAAATTCACAACACAAAGTGTACAAGTTGGTCAGAGGTCCTGCGGTTCCACCACTCCCACCCAAAATGCACAATCAGGTAACTCACACTTCCCTCCCTCCGCGCATCAGCTGTCGACAATTACGGGCGAGATTTGGCAGCAGCAAACTTTGATTAAAACACATGACAAACTCATTGCCAGCAGGAACAAAATGTTGAGCCACCGACTCAAGGCTCACCATGCTGGCAGCTCCTGGGGCCATGAATAGACTCAAGTGGTTTGCCACGTAGCTGAGTCTTTGGGTTTTGGGAGGTTGGGGTAAATAAATTCATTAAGCGATTAGCTTCGCTCTGCAGGTGATGCACTATCTCAGAGCTGAGCTTCTTTTTCCCATTTTCATCTCGTTTTTTTTTTGCATGTCCTTTGTGCCATCGTAAATTATTCAGTTGCTCGGATTAAATGGATTTAATGTCAGCTATTATTGCCATTGTTTTCCATCCAACAGCCTTTAACCACCTTAAGCCGGCCAAGACAATGCAGCTGTGCGCAGATTGGCCGACAATAAAATATAAATGGGCAAAATAAAGATACTGCTTAGTTTGACGAAGAAAAAGTTTTAAAAAATATATATAAATAAAGTCCCAGCTCTTGTTCCATATATTTATTATTTGAAAATATCCAAAAACTCTTTAACAGAATTAATGTATTTTTCGAATCCTTATAATCACCAAATTAATGCTAGCATTTTTGCCATCAATTGCATTGCGATTAGTTTGTTTGTCGCATTAGCCCTTTAATGTGCCCATTAACCATTATTCCCAATCAAAGTCCATATGACACTTAGCATATAATCAGATTCGTGCTCTCTGATAACTGCACGTAATTTATCACAATTAAATTTGGATTATAAATTATTAATATTGATTTATGTGGCAATGCGCTTCGCAATTTGTCTGGGGAGAAAGGTATGTGAACTGTCCAACCCTATTCAACGATATATATATATATATATATATATATAGCACTGATTCGTGTCAGGCTGTGGAAAGCTTTGCGCTTTGTTTGCTGCAAATTCATTAGCAAAAGTTGCCGCCAAGCGAGACAAGGATGAAAAGGACGAAGCAACATGAAAATTGCACTTGAAAATGTGGGTTGATGACAGGCTATAAAAAAGATGACTCGAGTTCAAGCCAAATTCCGCCGCGCTGCACTTTTGTCTTTTTTTCCAATTATAGACAAACGTCAAACTTGTGTGCTATGGACAATTTTTGCTGTGTTGATTTTTTATGAGTCGTTGAAGTTGTACCTACGAGACTGTACTTCTCAGTCCTTATCTCCTTTCAACTGAATGTGGACAAGTTGATTCTTAATTTTGCCAATTTCTATGAAAAAAAATATATGTGTCATGAAGCGATTTCATAAGGACACTTTATGATTTAGTTGTGCAATCTCTGATGGCAGGAAAACAGACAGCATGCACTACCCAGGACACGGGACAGACACTTTAACGGCACACAATAAAAGCAATAGCAAACAGCAAACAGCAACCGCCAACTTTGACCTAATGAGCTCCAAGCTTGTCTGCAGACGACGAAATGAAATTGAGACGCCGCTGCGGCGTTTCATTTAATTGTGCAAACTGTGTGGCAGACAGTGAAGTCCTCCTGTTGCCTGGCTCTTAATGAAGCCGCCTGTTGTCGCTGCTAATGTCGATAAGGTCATTCGGGGCGTGGCTCGTAAAGAGGCGACATAAAAGCAGAACACCACTTGGCAATCAACACTCAAAAAAAAAGGGACCTGAATTTATATCTAAAAATCTGTGTGTTTGCTTTGCGAAAAATTAAATCATTTTAAGAAAAATGTTTTCCTATTTTCACAAATTATTTCTAAAACTAAGAAAAACGTACAAGTTCTAAGATTAATTTTTAAAAATTAAGATCGTTTTTTTTCTGTGTATAGGATGGGGAGTAGAAAAAAGACAACGCGTTTTCTGCTTATTAGTGCCGTGTTCGAAAGACGTTATACGTATATATAGAAATATGTCCTTTCTGCTCTAAATACGCCACATATTTTATCAACTCAGGCGCTAAAAGTCGGCCACTCGGGAACTTTGTTCCTTTGGTGACTTTTGTTTAGCTGGCCTCGAACTAATGTCCGTCTATTTTTGGCAAAGCTTTTTCTTTGCTTGTGGGGTTAATGTGGTTGCTCGTTAGTAAAATAATTGCCAACTAATTGGCTCGAGAGGCAGCACTGAGTTGCCAGTCAACTGGATTAGTATCTCCCAGATTGCAACACTTGAATTTGCAAACAACAATAAATGGATTTCTCCGCAGATTTTTGCACATGGCTTAGGTATTTTAGATTATTTAAGACGTATATATAATTTTACTAGTAACAATTTCTTATGAATGAAGTACTATATACAGTAGCAGTGCAGATTATAACTCTTGAATCCATTTCAGTTTATTAAAAAGAGAGATTTAAATACACTATATAAATGTATTTTCGTGTTAAGTATTTTAAACCAACAATTTATGATTTTTTTAGTTTAAGACGCTTGAATATATTATGTTAGTTAATGCTTATAATGCCACGCCAACATTATGTTTTATGCAACTATTTGTATATTTGTAGAAAAAGGTGCAATTTTTGAATAACGCTGAACATCGCTGAGTATTACAATTCTTTTCTCGCCAGCCTTTAAACATTTCTTTATCATAATGAACCCTTATCTTCATGCAACAATTTTACGAGTATTGCATTTGTGGTTCACCTGCTTACTTAAATAAAAAATGATTATATAATTTGCTTTTTTGAGAGCATTAACGGCTCTTTCCTTAACGTTCAACCGTTAAGCACCGTTGCCATAAAAACGTAATCAAACTTTACTGATTAAAATGAAAATGTGCAAAATTATGAATCAATTTCGCACTCAACGTGCGAAAGTGCAAAGTCATCAGCTTATTGCATAAGTAGGGGGTGGTACGCGGGGGGTTTAGATTAATTTAGTTATGGGCTGCTGCAGTTGCACTTTTTCAGTTAAAGCAAATTTTCATAAGATGCTTAATGAAATAGTTGAAAAAACTGTTGAAAGCATCTTTGAAGTTTCTTATGTGGGAATTTATAAATTTTAGGAATATCGGAGAAATACTCAAATGTGTGAAAAACGCACCAGGATAGTGAGATCGATATTTTATATTCGAAAGAACGTAGTTATCCATGACAATTTGAAGAATATGTTTTGTTCAGCTGAGTTTTATAGTATATAGTTTTCATTAGATTTTAATATTTGTTAGGGAACGGTTCGTATTTCGTTGGGTAGGAAAAAATCATTTTACTTTTACAGTTTTTATTAACAATGGATTTTGAGACTGTTGATTCGGTGTGTGAAAATTTATTTTCAGCTCAAAATTTTTTTGCACTGCACGAGCGGCAAGTAAACAAACAAAATTACATTGACATGGTGAGCACGGCGATCGAGGATCTCGACAAGTTCCGCTTGGAGAACGGTGGCGGAGATGCTCGCGGATCGTTGCTGCTGGGCGTCGGCTACTGTGGCAACATGAACGATGGCTCGACTACAGATGCAACGGTAACAGCAGCGGTATCAACAGATGCAACATCAGCAATTGAAACAGGATCAACAGAGCCGTTGACACCCAATGACAATGACGAGGCCACAAATTCATTAGATTTTGACCTTTTGACAATGATGGGCTATTGTGCCCCAACCGATGGCATCGCGCGACTCTGTCAGCCAAGTCCAGCACCACCGACCATACAGATTGCCGATGAAATATATGCACTTCGGTTGGATACAATCTTTGTATTGGGCATGCGTCAGAATTTGACCAAGAATGATATCGTAGTGTTCTTTGGCAAAATTGGCCGCATCAAGATGGATGAGCTGACCATGAAGCCAAAGATATTTGTGTACAAGAATAAGCTGACGGGGCGCTCGAAGGGTCAGGCGACCATTACCTATACGAACGCCTATGCTGCTCAGGCGGCCATACAATATTTAAATGGATCGAAATTTCTGGGCCATGTGCTCAGCGTTGTGCCCGCCTACCTTTCAACACGCCCGGGCAAAAGCGTACGTTTCTGTTACGCCCAGGAAACGGGTATCGAGCAACAGCGTCGTCAGCGCCAGAAGAAATGGAAGCCCGCCTACGACAATTGGGTCTGTGAGCTGTGCAGGAATAGCAACTTTGTGTGGCGCATGACCTGCAATCGTTGCAGGGTCAGCAAGTCGGATGCCGGCGCCATGTCCACAGTTGGTCAGACTCTGTGGCGTCCGCGGAAGCACGATTGGAATTGTTGCTATTGCTTCAATGACAACTTTTGGTATCGTCAAAAATGCAATCGCTGCAATGCACCCAAGACGGATTTGCACTCCATCTCGGAAACAGATAGAGTAACGTGGGAGCTGGCCATTCGGCAGACTTCAGTAGTTTAATTTTTTTATAAATTTTTTTTTTTTTGAATAAGTAACTTGACACTTTTATAGGGCTGGCAGGTTTTGTACTTTCCCATGTCAATGGTAAACAATAAATGAAAAATGAGCTCTCTACATGTAAACTTCTAAAGACATATCAAATTTAATAAAATTTCTAGATGTATAAAGTAGATATTGGGGAGTACATTGCACAAGTTAATTCAGATTGAGATTGAGAATGCAAAATATGTTGCATTAATTTAATCTCATTAAGAAGATTTGCATTTAAAGTTGTATTTAATAATCTGAAAATTAGTTTGGTTGTAATTCGATTATTGTGTATTGCTTCTTTTTATGTCAACATTCAGTTCAATTTAATTCTCGAGCTTAATTAACGAACTGCGACAGTCTGAGTAAGCAGTTTAGTTGAAATTAAAGTATTTGATTTATTCTGTGATATGCGAACGCTTTAGGCAAACACTATTATTGAAAGATGTAGGCGTATGCGTACTGCCTGCGGGCACTGTGTCGCAAAAGCAATTTACCATCAGCATCTGGCGAAAGCCAGAGCAACAAAGGATTTGAATTTAGCAACAGCCGTAGAGAACAACGGGCCAAAAGCAACAACTGCGACAATGCCAACTGGCAATGGCAACTGGCAACTGGCAATGCCAATGCCAACAACATTAACCAACATTTCTCGTTGCTGTCGCTGTTGTTGTTGCTGGGGTTTTGATGTGGCTGATGTGGTTCGTCTTGTTGTTGTTGTCGCTGTTGTTTTTTTTTTTTATTGTAGTTTGGTTGCCATGTGTGTTGGTTGCAGCAGATTTTGATGTTGCGCAGCCTGTGTTAGCTCCTCTTAGTGGGGGTGAATGTGATATACAAAGTCACGGTGTTGAAATACATCCAATAAAATATGTACGTGTCTAAATTTTAATATGTCTGCGTGTCTATTTAGCAATTCCTTCAATCCTCCTCTCTCACTGCCACACTTTCATTTCGATATCTATGTCGAGGCGTCTCTGTTTATTTATCTTGCTACTTATTTATTGTGCGGCATAATGAAATTTCACGTAATCCTCATTAAGACCAAAACATACACAAACAAAGAGACGGCAACCCAAGCGACTCAATGACAAAACTTTGAAGATGCTTTGTTTTTGATGATTGTGCAACAAGAAAATTGCATTTACTCTGTGTTTGTGTTGGGATAGTTGAGTGCACTACTTTTGTTTTCGATTAAAGAAAGTTCTTTGAAATCAAGAAAAGCATAAGTTTAAAACTTTCTTGGCATGCTTCTTAAATCGATAATATAAACATGGGTGAAATATGAATAAGTGAGTAAAACTGTGTCAGCTTAAAACAAGAATTAAGAATTTTTTAATTAAGTGCCAGCATGCCTGAGGCTTATTATTATTATTGAGTTTTAATCTAGAATAATTTAAATTGTGAATTACATTTAATTTACACAGCGTTTAGGTAAAGACATGAGATTAAACTTAAGGTATTCAATGATGTGCTGCATAGTTGAAATGAGCCTGCCGCTGATTGGGGCAACCAAATAAGCAAATATTGCCCCTAATATGTACCTGTTAGCGCTGCTCTCTTCTGCTCCTTTCTACTCTCGAATTTTGTGGCAAGAGGCAGCTCGCAAACCCGGGCGGTCCAAACGGCGCACGTTCAACGCAAATAAATCAAACGAAAGCTTCCAAATTGTATACCATTGTAGCTATATTTTTTCTTTGCTCAACTCACCTCATGCTATCGCATTGTAGTCGTTGCTATTTCATTCCACTCAAGTACTTGAAGCTGATTTTCGTTCTGTATCAAAATTCTAAAATGTATACGAGAAGATATAGAGAGAGAATGTTGCTAAATGTGGGTGGGTGAGGGGGCTCAGGGAGAGTGGGTGGATGGATGACGACTGCTTGTCAGTTCAATTGGCTGCCACGTTGATTTCGCATCGATTTTGACTTTCACTCCATACTCAGCGTCCTTATGCTTAAACCTCCTTGTCAGTTACTTAAATTGCGCAGTCGTTTCATTTCTTTTTTCTTTCTTATTTTTTCAGCGAAAGGGTTGCGGTCTCCAGAAATGTGCTGACAGCGGATTTATTTCGCCGACATTCCGTATACAATATCTTGTCATTTAAATGCACAAATATCTATAGATGTGTGTATGTTGAAGACGCTCAGTGTGTTTATTGAAATACAGCTGTGGCAAGCATCTTAAGTACTCAGCTACAAACTTATTTCAGTCAAAACAATTCTGGCGCAGACAGTTGCAATTACGCACAAATTTATCTACTGTATGAAATTGAACTCAATTCTTGAGCTTACTCTTGTGGCAGACAAAGCTAAATCGAATACTTCACTTCACTTTATTCACAACGTTTGCGCTTATCTTCTTCTAGCTGGGGATCGACATCGATATTGTATATTACGTACACTTTTGAAAGTTATTTTACAGACTGTTATTACAGATCAACATCATGCAACATCAGCAACAGTTGTAGTTATTAGTTGATAGTTGTCAGAACAATTACTGCGCACATAAAACTTAAATTTAAATTTAAATTACATTTTGAAAAGGGATTTGATGTTGTAGTTGCCACTTTTAATGCTCTGCACTGTTTTCCAACATCTGTTTGTCGATAAAGATGAAATGGATGGATGAAAGACATATGCAGATTAAATGTGCAACTGCTGCAAGCTGAGCGCCCAGCGCAAAGAACAAATATACTCATAACTTGTATTGCCTGAAAGATTGTTTCTGGTTTTCCTCAAAATCAAGTCTTGTCAATGCGACTCCTTATTGCATTGAATACTGTTCATTTAAAATATATGTAATTAAAAATTGCAACATTTTAATAGTTATATTCTTGATTTTAATTTTAATGACAAATATTTTTACTGAGAAATACTGACTGCAACAAAATGGTTTACCAATATTGACTATTGATGTAGAAATTATGGTGCATTTTTGAGATGCCAAACCTGGCGGAGCATCATTAAGAGTGTACCAAAAGTACTTAATGCCAGGTGTTGCTCTGTGTGCCTTCAGCATTAGTTCTACATTAATAGTGGCCTACTACTCTCTTAAAGCTAGAGGAATTAAATATTCTCAAAAAATTGCAACCGGCCATTTCTATAAAATGAGAATTATAAGTGCACATTAACTTAAAATTAACTTATTCCCCCTCTCTGCAATTCTCTTAAGCCTTATTTATACAGTATTATATAAAGATATTTTAATATTATATTTAACTCTGTCCCCCTCTCTCTCTCTCTTTCTAAAATCCAATATGGTTTTTGTTTTATAAGCAGCAACCAATTCACTCACTAATTTATTAGTCTAAACAATGCGTGCAACTTCTGGTGAAATTCACAACTAGTTGAACAAGCTGCTGTGGCTGATCCAAGTGAACTTGATGCCCCGCATCCAAATGCTCAACTTGCAAATTGGGAAAATAGGTGCGCATAATCTCAACATTCGCTGGAGTCACACACTTGACTTTATTGCCCGCAATGAGCAGTGTTTCACCATGATAGGGCTCCAGGTGAGAGAGAGTCTGCTCATAGTTGACCATAGACTCCTCCCAGCTATCAATAATGGCCTGGGCATTGACGTTCCAGTCGAATGTGCCGCTCTCCAGCTTCTTCAGATTCTGAATGATCCGCAGCAGATAAAGATCGTTTTTCACAAGTTTACTGAATGCAGGTATTATGGATCTCTGGGCCTCGTCGAGGGTTAAGTGCTTGGGTATTTTCGGAGCTACGCTGAGCATGAGCCTGAGCAACTCCAATGTCCCAAGCACAATTTGGGGCAGCGGTCCCGGCGTTATGTCCACAACCACCAGACGCTCCACAAGCTCCGGCCTGGTCAACGCCAGCGTCATCAACGCTCGCCCGCCCATATTGTGTCCCAGACCAACGACGCGTCCCAGTTTGTGATCCGATATAAAAGCCTCCACATCGGCAGCTATGCTCTCTGGCGTATGCCGCGACCTATGCGGACTGTCGCCGTGATTGCGTGCATCCACGGCGATCACCCATCGTGATCCCAACTTCGCCAAATGTCGGGCAGTGCGACGCCAAATGGAACGGTTCATATTCAAGCCATGCAACAGCAATATGGGTGGCGATTTCAATTGACTGTGCGGCATCTGATACACCGTATAATCCATTTTCACTGGCTCCTCGCTGTTGCTGCTCCTGCTGCTGCTGCTGCTGCTGCTCCTGCTATTGCTGCTGGTGAGCCTGGAATATGTCCTTAGGAGCAGATTTACCCGCACAACATAGTGCAGTGATTTCTCCCCTACAGTCATTCCACCAGCTCATTGATCAGCCAAACGTAATACCGGTTCCATTGAGGAATTGATTTAAAGCTTGTGTTTAGGTTGCAAGGTTTACTACAAGTATTTCCCATCTTCTTTTTTTGAAACTTACTACAAAGCCAACTTGTCGGTCAACAACTGTAGATTTGAGTACTGGGCGAAGTGTTCTGCTATTGACGATTAAGTTCCCTTTAATTAAATATAGTTTTATCAGCAAATATATCTTGTGGCTTAATGGAACATGTAATGACAAATTTGCAATTCATTTTGGTCTCTGAGATCGGTGTATTCATGCAGACCAGTATGACTAGATCAACTCGAATTTTGATACTGATCAATAAGATATATATAGTTGATGGGGGCAATAATCCTTCCATCTGCCTGTTGCAGAAATAATCGTTTCACACATTTTCGATTTAGTACTTATAAACTGCATATAAAATAACAACTGGCTTAAGCAGAATTACAAGATTATAAAATATGAACTATACATTTTGTTATTTTCTGTTGGATGCTAACTAATGAATCTATGACTAACTCAATCCCACTTAAATAACATCAACTTACATGTGCCTACGGCTTAAAAATCCAAAGCAGAAATTACAGCATTTTTTACATGCTCGTTTTGCATTGCTCCACGAGGGCAATAAAAAATAAACAATGCGTAATGCGATAATCCTCTTTAGGTAAGTACGAAACAAGAATAACGCCTCAAAAATGTAGCATATGGCAGAGCTAATCCGTTAGACTGTTTTCTTTACGCATACAAATCCCCAAATGACATCATAAATAAAATGCATTTGTGTGGAAAATTAGATAGAAGCAAATGGCGCTGCAACAAAGCGCACACAAATACAGAAAATCTACTTCTTCTCCATCTTTTTTTTTCTTGATAAAGAATACACGAATAAGCGTATAATATACATTATATGCTATATACATATACATATATAAATATGTTGGGATGTAAGAACATAAATCTTACACAGTGCGCTGCTGCAGACACAAACAAATCGTCTTGAGAATTTTCTTATTTTCACTTGAACTTTGCATTCGCTGGAAATTTGCGAGAATTATTGGGAACTTGTGCATGGTTTGTTCTAGAAAGGTGTCAAGTGCATTATTTATGAATATTATATATATATGTATATTTATATAAGAGCGAAAGAAAAACTTGTTATGCTTTTAATAGATTAACATCAACGAAGGGAAATATAAATTGAGTTAGTTTAACAACCCCCCGTTGGCATTAGATTTCAAAGTGAAATTGCAGTCTGACAAGGGGAACGGTGGAGTTTGGGGAATTGTAGCTAAAGCAATTCATATCCAATTTCAAATTATTGACAGAATAAATGGCCTTTGAATCATTTTCGTCAAGCGGTCATCTCATCAAGCAAAAACAAATTGCCCTATTGATCTCAAAAAGTTAAATCACAAACGACATTAAAAGTCAAAGGAACATTTTTCAATAAAATTCCCTTTCATTGTCAATCAAATATTTATGAATCCCTTAATGCATTTTTAAGTTACCAGTTGAGCCTGAATCTTGTGGCAACTGTAACTATCCAAAACAACATTTACAAATGTATAGCTATTTCTGCTATAAGTAATTAGTCACATCAATTATCATATTTTCTCTTATACTTAGAAGAGCGTAATTGCCGGCAATTTTATCCGCGCCAGCGCTCTATATTTTTCCTCTCCGTGAGAGAATTGCAGACATGATTCAAATATTAGATGAGAGCGTGATTCATGGCAGAGTTTTATAAACAATAACAGAGCATGCAACAGTTAGATGGACAAAACACTAGGGGTATTCATTGTGTTGAAAAACCCATAACCCAAATTAAAAAAAATATATTACATTTTACTCTTGCCTAAAAAAATATTAACTGCCTAACAATTATTTGATATTTTATAAGCAAAAGTACATTTGAAGCAAATATGAAATCTGATCATAAATATTGAATAAAGTAATTTTGTGAAGTGGCCTATTTATACAGATATTTTTGGAAGGATATATTATTCAGACATATATATATTTCAAATTATAATTATGAATGAGAAGCTTTTTCGAATGAAATACCGGTTGCTGCTTTGAACTAACAGAATACTGGCGCCATCTATGAGTCGTCAAAAAATTTAGTAAATACACCAACCATCTACCGAATAAAGGTAGAACTTAAGAGCCAGGGATGCATGGGCAAAATAGTTATAGCTAGAAGTATAATGATTATAAGCTTGCGTAAATAACGTAACTCGATCAGATCTTAAGACATAAATTTACTTCGCAATAAGTTAGACGAATGGTATATTTTTATATATTTATAACACAAATATAATATAAATAGATTCAACCATAAATTATATTCATTTCCATCTTCAACTTTTGCTTATAGTCACGTCAGAATTTTCCAAGACTTTTCATTAAGTTCTAAATTGCTCTAGTTATACGCTTCGACGTAGTAAAGATAAAACGAAAGCCTTGGCATTTCTCCCAACCCCCAATAGCTGCTAGCCAATCAGAACGTCTGAAACTGTTGCCAATCCAAAATGGCCGCCTCAACTGCGTGTGGCAGATGCTGCACATCGAAGGGGTGGCAAAAAAAAAAATCCAATAAGCCAAACGAGGTTAGCTCATTGCAAGGCAGACGGTACAATCAGAATTTATTCCAATTCGGGCTTCCAAACAGAACAGAACAGAAACCAGAAAATACAGAAACCGATCGAAAATCGTAAACGAATAAGACAATATATACTAAAGCCAAATGCAGCATCCGAGCGAGCAACCCACCTATATGTCAGAGGTGCCATTTCAGCCACTGTGGGGCCAGGAGGCACCGCCACCGCCACCCATAGTGCCGTATCAGGAGCTGATAGCCGGATTTCCCTGTAGCGATTTATGTTAGTTTTTCATAGTTTAAATATTATATTCCAGCGAATATCTGCTCATCATTTATAATTTAATTTATTTTAACAGCTCTCTGGCAACGCTCGCAGGTGGCACCGCTGGTCAACCAACGACCGTCCGCCAACGGACGCAGCTCCTCCTCCTCCAACTCGAAGAAGACCCGACGCCGCATCGCCTCCATGGCCCAGAGAAGGGCTGCGAATATACGGGAACGCCGTCGCATGTTCAATCTGAACGAGGCCTTCGATAAGCTGCGACGCAAGGTGCCCACCTTTGCGTATGAGAAGCGACTCTCCCGGATCGAGACACTTCGTCTGGCCATCACCTACATTGGCTTCATGGCGGAGCTGTTGAGCGGCACACCCTCGAACAGCCACAAGCCCCGTTCCGATATGTACGGGGGCATGAACGGGCACCATCATCCGTCGGCGGTGGCCACTGGACCCCCAATGCATCCACATCCGCATCTGCATCCGGTTGCCTATCAGCGTGACTTTGCCTCGCCCTACAATCACAGCCTGACCTAGAGAGGTCGATCAGTGAGCTGGAGAAGGACGACAAACCATATTGTTTCCTGTTTCTGTTGCCCTTATCATGTGTTTAAGCTTAATTATTAACAATATAAATGTGATAGATGTGTAAACTGTGGTGTGTGTGTGTGTCTAGTGTCGGGTTGTTTGATGGATATCAAATGACACAAATTAATATAATAGGGTGTTGTAGAATATATCAACATTTGATTTCTTAAAGCTTATAGATATATCTGCAAAGGCTTCAAAGTTCGTTCGTGTAAAGAAAGTGCCGCAAAAAATAAGAAAAACTGCCGATACGAGATATAGCTTACTTTGAGTGGATAACTGCCGATTTCATTCAATAAAATCAATATGTAAATTACAAATTCCTTTTTAAATAAACAGCCAAACAATAGATTAAATACCTTCGGCAAATTTGATATGGAAATCTCGCTAAAATAGTAATATAATCTGTATCTTATTAGTGTTTAAATTATACCTATTATGCCACTGCTTACTAAATTATTGATCTTCAATTCTGATATAGATAAGATAATACGTTATCAAGCATTTTAATTGTGTAGTATAACTAACTAGTAAGTAAAGTAGACTCTCGAAAACTTCTTCGTAGTCGCTAGTACAATCAATAAGGTGTGTTTTATTTGATCGTATAAGCATAAATAATGAGGTCGGGAATTTTTTCAACTTTGCAAACAGTACACACCTCATTTTGCAATATCTCAGTGCTAAACAACTATTCAATGCACTCAGAAAAAACTCGTCATTCTTTTGGCGCTCAGTGTTCTTCACCTTAGTATTTAGATTATCAATTTCTATAAGATATTGTGTCTTTCTTAAAACCAAGGCTTAAATTTCTACCTTCCTGAGTGGATATTTCTAATAATAAACAAAAATATATGTCTAATTTTCAGGGTATAATATTCTATATGTACGTCGATGACAGCTAATTTCAGGTTTGCATTTCTACCCTTTCCAAATGCAGTTCCTAATAGAAGACAACATTTCTAAAAAAAAAAAAAAAATAAAGAAAAAACACCATATTTTTAGGATTGCCGACTTAAAGTTTCCAATCTTCAGAACACTTTTATCTTAGGGCGATTTTCATTGATGGGCAATTTTCATTGTAGGGCAACTTTCTTTGTATGGCGATTTTCTAAATCTTAAGTCGTTTTTTTCTCGAGTGTATTCTTATCTGGTATCAGTTGAATAGTTGATAAGACTAGCATTGATTAATCGGTAGTTGTTCAACCTTCTGCCAGTATTCAATTGAAAGTGAAACGAAAATGTCGAGGCCCGAGCTTCTAACACAGATCTCGACCGATTATGGCACAGCGCCTGCCTGGCTGGATGAGAAAGTGCTGCTGTGCCTGCTAAAACAGGAGTTTCCTTCATTTCAAAGTATTGAGAACACTCGCATCAGAACGGAGCCGAACTCTCTTCGAGTGCAGATCCAAGCCAAATTAGCGGGTAAACTTTATCTTTCATCTTTTTCGATAAGCGAAAACATAAAACACTAACGGTAACATAATCAAACAGAGAACGCTTCCCGCACAATCAACTTTGTGGTGAAGTCACAGGAATTGAGCAAAGTTACGCGCCTGAGGTTTCCCCAAGCCAGCTTGGGGAACTTTCAGATGGAGCAGCACATGTATAAAGTGGTGATTCCAGCACTAGAAACACTCTACAAGGATGCGAATAGAAGTATATCGTTTAGTCCGACCAGCTACAAGCCCAAAACGTTACCAACCCCAAAGGAGTCCAGTTGTCTTTATCTGGAAGATCTTCAAGCCAAGGGTTTTCGAGTTGTCAATCAGTTAAAGGGCCTAGACCAAGTTTCGATGGAGGTGATGCTTTCCAAATTGGCTGCTTATCATGCGGCTACAGCACGTTATCTGCAACTAAATCCGCATCAGCTAAAGGAGCTATCAAAGTTGGAATCCAATAAGGAACCAGCACAAGATATACAAAATCTTAAAATCTGGCTACAACGCAAATTTCACGAGAGCTTGCGGGCAAATGATTTAAGGGAATATGAGGATAAGGTGGTAAGTGGTAAGGATACTAGCGGTATTCATTGCACATGTGTACATCAAATTGTGTTTATTCACAGAAATCCTTTCAACGACATATAGCTGAAGATATAGATTCGCCAGATCTGAAGAAATCATTTAATGTCATATTGACTGGCGCTTGTTGGTCCAATAATTTACTTGGACAATTTGATGCCTTTGGTCAGCTTAAAGATGTGGCTTTCTATCAATTCGGTAGTGTTACTTATGGACCTGTTGTACAGGATCTGCTGCAGCTCCTTTTGACCGCCCCTGCACAGAAAACTGAACAATTTGATGCATGCTTGCGATATTACCGAGATGAACTAGCGGCAAATCTGAAACTGCTAAAGTTCGAAGGAAAATTGCCGACATTAACAGACATTCAGCTGGATTTACTAGATTATGGACATTGCGGTGAGCTTTAGACTTGACTATAGTTATTACGTATTTGTAATAATATTTGATCTTATTCAGCCTTTGAGGTCATAACGGAAATCCTACCGATTGTGTTGACCGACTTTGGCTGTGAGGATATCGACGAAATGTTTAAGCTTTCAAAATATTCGGAAGAAATTAAAATCCTACTGCCCTGGCTGGAGAATCGCGGCTACTTTGAGGCGTAATGACAAGAATTAACTTAATGATAATGTACAATGTCGTCTTTTAAAAACATTCCAAATATTACCAACAACCACCTGACAATCCAGTAAAATTGTTCCGGACTCTCTACCACCTTACAGCATTATTATGGCTAGATTTACGTGCGAAAATGTGCAGCTGCTGCAGCACATGTTGATGCCACAATGAAGTCACATTAGATACTAGAACACAGAGGAACCCAGAAAAAAAAACCAAAACCAAAAACGATTATACAAAATTTGACAACGTAAACAAAGCGTAAAATTATTATTAATAAACTAATGTGATAGGGCAGCAATACAATGACAATTGCTGCAACATCCCTCGAAGCGAAAAACAAGTGTAACACTTGAAGGGCCCGATTGCACAGAGTTTGGATACCCTATCACCTATAGACATAGCAAACGGTATGGTATGATAATCGATAAGATCGAATCTTTAAAGAAATCAATTATGTCTGATTAACCCCATCAACAATAAAAATATAAACTTGGATTAAATAAGAGAATTTTCGTTTGCATTTCGGTTTGGTCCAACAAATACTGTATATTCTAAACAAACTATATAATATTGATCATAGATATAGATCATGAGATTTTGTATGCTTTTATTTGGACATATTACAACAGCAGCTTTTTTAAATCAGATCTATTTTATTCAGTTTACATAGAAGATTTAATGTTAAAGGGTATCTTTAAGTCAGTGACAGTATTCACATTATTATTGTTTTTTTCTTTCACTCAGCCTAAATACCGAGGAATTTTTGCGTTCAACGCCCATTTTCAACAGATTAGAGCCCCCTTTTTTTGCTACAGCAAATTAATTTTGAGCGCATAAATAGAGAAGAGGGGAGAATTCGTAGCCCTAACAAGACCCACCTGAGGGTTGCTCGTCAGGATCTGTAACATTGTGCGACCCTTTTGGCGATGTGGTTGCTGCTCTTGTTTTGCTATAGATGTATTTAGTTCGGTAGCTGGCAATATGTTTTGATGAATTTGTGACACTTCATGCCGCATTAGGTTGCTCATCTGTATGCTACCCCCCTGCTCTATAAGGGTTGGCTTAACGCGCTTGACTTTGACTTATGAAGTGCCCTCACGTGTCTGCGATTAGCGGCTTATGTCAAAGTCAAATCTATCTGTTGTAGTCTTTAGTAGTTGCACTCTAAAATAAACACTTGATCACCTGCTGTGTGGGAAAGTCGACTTACATTTTCAATCTTGAAATTTCGCAATATTTAAGATTATGAGTCAGTCAGTTTGTCAATGCCACGTGCAGCTAATTAAATGCTACCCATAGTAAATCAGCGTACGAAATTAACAAGTCTATGAACAATCCCTAACTGAGATTTACGTAATTCTTTTGCACTATCCGCACATCCCCTAGATTCTATTGTCCGCATGTCAAATCGCTGTGACAAATTAATTGAGTTTTGTTACAATTTTCGGCATATTTTTCCCAAAAAAAAAATCTATATATATATATGTATATATCGACACTTCTCTCAGCCTGTTAGATTGAAATCCAATATATATTTGACGGCATGATAGATGATTAAGTCAAACCTAACAGATGTTTAGAAATTATTAATATCTTGTGATATCAATTCAAAGTTAACTAAATATAATGTTATTAGAAGAAAAAAACAATTGAATCTTATTTTAAAGAATTATATGAAGGACCGAAAATAATTTGAATATTTATATAAGACTACACTGCTTTAAGCTATTATTTTAATTTGATGACGCCAAATAAGTATGTGAAATGCTTAATCAATTCAATTGAGAGCTTTGTCTGATACCAAACTAAACTGAAAAAGGTGTGCACGAAATAAGAGAACCACTTGATAAGCAAGCACATATAATAATAATAAAATATTACCTTCACACCCTGCACACAATATGTAACAGAGTATATTCATTATTGTTATCAGATCATGAAGTAAAAATCAGTGAATAAGTGAAAGTGAATAGACTGTCGTAATAAAAAAAATGGATTAAGTTTTGTATATAAAAATTGGTAGGGGCAGCAACTGAGTACATTTATGAATGAAACAAATTATCAGCACATTAATTTTATTCAACTCTCGTTCAACGCGTTACAAAGTCGAACTCACTCGACAGCTTTACGCGTTTGACAATATGGCGTAATTGTGTGAAAGCTTTTAGCGTGAAAGCTCTGTTGTTTATAAACAAACAGCGCGCGGCGTATCACTGTATTGTAATAGTATAGACCAAATTGAGAGATCCAGCAATAGCTCGCTCACAGTATAAACGCAATTCTTAAGTATAAACGTCATGGTGAAGGTCAGTGAAAATGCAGAGAAGCTGGAGCTGCCAGAGCTGCCAGAGAAGCTGGAGGTGCCAGAGTTGCCCGACTGGTTAGATGAGAGTATGTTTGTGGAGTTCTTGCAAAGCGACTTCAAAGACTACAAAGCCATAAGAAACTTTAAGGTGGAGCCAACGGGTGGCAAGGGCGAAAACTTTACGTCTTTGGTGGTGCGCGTAAAAATTGTTGTCGAGCTAAATGGTAAAATATGCAAGAGATTTATAAATTAAATAAACTAATAACTCAATTATTTCAACTCCGAAGATGGCAGCGAGGGAGAAACCTCATATATTGTCAAACTGTTGCCGCTAACATTGAGCACACGCGATATGATTGCAAGCTGGAAGGTGTTCGATAAGGAAAAGCTCACTTATGGCAGCTATGTGCCACAATTTGAACAAATGTTTAGGGACAAAAGCAAAGAGATTACATTCGGGCCTAAATACTATGAGCCAACACATGCGGCGAGCGAGGAACTAATCATCTTGGAAGATCTGGGCAATCGGAGCTTTAAGAATGTCAATCGACAGTTGGGCTTGGATGTGGTACACACCAAAGCTGTGTTAGATAAGTTGGCACAGTTTCATGCCGCATCCGCAGTGCACTATGAGTTAAATGGACCATATCCGGAACTCTATGATCGCAATCTATGTAGTCCAGAGGATAAATTTCAGGACTTTCGCGATGGGCAAGCCAAATCTCTTATCAAGGCTCTGCCGCTCTATGATGCTGCATATTTGGAGAGCACGTTGGTTAGTGAACAAAATATTCATTACCTCAACAAATATAGATATATATATTTATTAAATTATTTTCCAGAAAACTTACACCTCCATCGCACCGGATATGTTTCAGGCTTATGCGCCCAAGTTTGAGGGCGAGTTTCGTTGTTTGAACCATGGCGACTTTTATTGCAATAATATTATGTTTCAATATGATGAGCATGGAGACATCAAGGACACCTACTTTATAGATCTGCAAATGAGTCGATTTTGCTCGCCGGCACAGGATTTGATCTACATACTTCTATCCTCTGTGGCGTTTGAGTTAAAATTCACAAAATTTGATTACTTTGTGTTCTACTATCACAGCAAGCTAGTTGAGTATCTGAAATTATTGGATTATAACCAGCCACTGCCTACATTGAGTGGCCTTCACATGGCGATCCTTAATCATGGCGATTGGGGTAGGTTTTGCAATATATACATATATATATATATTATTACCTATTAATTATACTTATCATAAAAAATATTTAATACTTTAGTTTATCCTGTGATATCGCTACTACTGCCACTGGTATTAATCGATCCCAGCGAGAAGACCAATATGGACACCATGATGGATCAAGAAAATGAAGGTGATCAGCTTAGGAACACCATGTTTGGACACAAGCGGGTTGTTCAGCACTTTAAGCAGCTGCTACCCTGGGCTCACAATCGTGGGTTATTTGTGTATACGCCAAAGATGAATAACTAAAACTGAACTAATAATAATAAAATAGAAAAATACTTTGAATACCAAACAACATCTGTATTTACCAGGTAAGAATTTGCTACTACTTTAGAAACGCAGAAGCTCGAAGTCGTTAAAAAGGAAAGGCCTGTAAAATCTTGGAATTTCTAATAAAAAACTGATTATTTATTGTCGTCGTGCGCTTGGGAAAAAATCAAAGCGCAGTCATTGTGAATTCGCATAGAGTGTGCCAAGCTATTCTTGCTACGTTCTTATCGATGGCTCGTGGCAACTGCCTACCAGCATGGGAAGTTTATAAGAATGTTAAAATCATTGTATGCCTCATAAGTGTGCACTTTTTTTGTGATAACAATTTACGTAATTCAGGTCGATAACAAATAATCTCTAATGAATAGATTCATAAAGTGGATTTGACTTAGATAATCAGAAAAATACAAATTGGTCACACGCTAACAATTCTGACAGTCATTTTAGCTGTGTTCAGGTTTGACCACACTCATTTACTGGAAGGTACGAAATATAAACGAAGTCCTTAAAAATCGTGTAAGATTTGGAAGTTAACAGTAACATTACTATTGTTTGATAAATGAGTGGAGTTTGAACTTGTATTTCAACAATTTTGATTGAAACGCTTACTTAATAACACAAATCATATGCTAATTTTTATCAGCTATTTCTTCATATAAAACAAACACTAAAGAAATACATATTTAAAAAATATCATTAATGTTTGCAATTACATATTGTTGACAAAATTAAACTTTTGCTGATAGGATTAAAAAGATTTCAGTGCGTTAAATTTGTGGAGGCCCAAAACATTACCAATACTGATATTAATAAAAGCTATACCAGTATTATTTTTTGGTATAAATATTTTGGTATAATATATTGAGACAGAACTCGGAATAAAGTCAGAAGTGGCAAGGATGAAAAGGATCCTAAATATCCGCAGCTGTCGATAATCGTGTCACAAATAAATGAAATACTCTGCGCATATAAGTGAAAAATATGGAATATTGACTACAAAGTTAAGAGTTGAATTTACTCTTAACTCTTATTCCTAAGAAGCATTCTGAATATTTGTCTTATTCTTACTAGGTCATAAGAGAAATTATTTTATATGATTAGTAGGCAACAACATGGAAAAATAAATAATACAAAAAAATCAACGAAATAAATTTTAGATAAGAGAAAAATGAAGAATTCAAACAGCTAAGACGAATGCGACTACGATTTAGTGATAGTATGGATGTAAGTACTGTAGACATAACAAATGGGTAAAGTATGAAAGAATCAATTTAGATATTCAATTCAAAGTCCGGCATGGGTCAGAACAGCTCCAAACAGAAGAAAGTTGCTAAAAGCAGGTCAACTTCAACGACCCTTTCACTAGAAACCATTCCAAATGATAAGGAAGAAACGCTAATACCAACAGGCAGCACAATGCATCCTGACCGGAAGTTAGTGCCAGAATGGATTCACAAGACACAGTTCCTAGAAATTCTCAATGATAATGTGCCAGAGTTCCAAAGAATCGAGAATTTCTGCATACAGCCAGCTCTGAGTTCTGGCGAAAACTACTCCTCGTTAATCCTCCGCATAAGCATCGATGTGAAGCTAACTGGTTAGTGCGATCTACATTTCAAATTTTGTCTTAAGTCCTTCTCCCCCTCAAGATAAAACCATAAAGCCCATGTCCTTTATGATGAAGGTACCACACGAGTCGGCCAAAATGCAACAGATGCTAAAAACAGTAAACTTCTTCACTGTTGAGAATGCTACTTACGAGGAACTTATATCGAAATTCGAGGAGCTCTATAAATCGAAAGGCATTAATATCGACTTTGCTCCACGCGCCTACAAATTCAAGGAGAGCCTGAAAACGGAACCGAAACTGGCCAATACGGTGCTCATGTATGATCTGGGTCAGGATGGTTATCGAAATTTGAATCGTCTCGAATGCCTCAATGTCGACCAAACCAAATTTGTGTTGCGTAAATTGGCGCAGTATCATGCAGCGGGGGCGCACTGCAGAATTATAAATGGACCATATCCGGAACTCTTTACGCAACCCATGTTTGGCCCCAATAAGGAAAGAGCTATATCTATACTAGAGGGTATAATGGGGCCGTTTAAGAAAATGTTTCTGGAACATCTCTATGGCTACAAAGATGGCGCTAAGTACTATGAAAAATTTGTGAGCAATATTTATCATAGAAATTTTAACTACATATTTACTAAAGTCATATTTTAAGGCAACACTTTTCTCTAAAATGAGCCGACATTTTCTTAGCTTGAGCCAATTCGACGCCACTGAATTTAATGTGATCAATCATGGGGATTGTTGGATCAACAATTTACTGTTCAAATATGACCCGAATGGAGAACTAATTGATATGATCTTTGTTGACTTTCAGTTGCCCAAATATGGCCATCCATCTGCAGATCTTCTCAACTTTATCATGACATCTGTCCACATAGATCACAAGTTAAAGCAATTCGACTACTTCATCAAGTATTATCACGATCAGCTGATTGAACATTTACAATTATTGGAGTATACGAACCGTTTGCCCACCCTCTCGGAACTGCATATGCTGCTATATAAATATGGTATCTGGGCAATCACAGCGTCCGTCATGGTGCTACCCATTGTGCTGTTAGATGAGAAAGAAAACTCCCTGGAATACAAAAGCCAATTGTACACAAATGAACGCTATAAAGCTCATATAGAACAAATACTGCCCTGGCTGGACAATCGTGGTCTCTTAGATGCGTAGCTAAATATACATTCCATTCGATATGTCAAACTTTAATCGATTCTCCTTTGATTTGAAATGCTTAGATTAAGAGACGAGGAAATAACTGCTGAATAATACTTAATATGTGGTACTTTTAACCCACTTAGCAAGCATGACGAGTGTATTCATTCATATTCATATGAATTCATATAATTTGGGATGCTTCAGAATCATTCAAGCAATTAATTATTTATTTAAATTTTATTTTTTTTTTTTAATTTCTTTTATTTATTTAAAATTTTCAAATCAAATCAATTCTGAAACACAATTTACCTAAACTTGTATTGTATTCGGTCATAGACCTTTTAGATGTATTTACATCAAATTGCGCGCTTATTTCCAATTTACAATTATTGCCCGCCATGGTTTCAGCTATCTAATATCAGCAACAAAACTGATTATATTCAGATTAGACAAGCAAGCTGGCTATAAAATATGTATATATTTCATATACATATGTATATTATGTACATAGTCATTGCGATTGTACTTAGAATAGTTCTGGTATTTGTGGAGCTCTCATTAATATAAAATACAAGCAATTTGATATTAAGCAATCGCATTATTAAACCATGAATATGTTTTGCAAATGGAAAAGTTTTGGGTATTAATGAATGTTCAAATGACCTAACTATATTCCTAAAATTCTAATCAATAAATTCAGATCTTAAAAAATTACATCTGTTTTAGTTGTATTACGTATACACAATTAGGCAACAGTTAAGTCATTTTTAAAGCTAACATTTTTAATTTCTACACTCAAAAGCTCTAGAATTGGGCAATTAAAACACAAATAGTTATTTTGAATTTTTTTCTGTTTTGTTTCAGCTTGTATATATATTTATTTGTGTATGCCTGCGCGTAGGGTATCTTCCAGTCCTCAACAGAGTTGGTTAAATTATTTCATCATTTGACAATAAATTTGCGTAAAACTTGAATGCGCCACAATGTAATTACATAGGCGTACACAGAGAGAGATGGGGGATATAACTAATCACGCTTCACTGTATTTTTAGAAACATGTGATTGGTCGCCGAAACAAAGTCAGACGAAACTTCAAATGAGCTTTCCAAAAAAAAAAGGGAAATTTGTTAGTATATGTTTATATCGAATGAAACGCAGTTGTGAAAAATTGGCGGCACGACCTTGAATGCTATAATAATCTAGCTTTTAGTATTCGTCAGCAAGTTTTGTATTCACGAACCATATCAGTTGATAATTTTGTATACTGTTCTACACACACATATTACTATTAAATCGAAGATACTCGCAACAACGCAAAAGCTGCAAATAAATAGTTCAGCAATCAGCAGCTTTTATCGGTAACGAACGTTGGGTATAAATACCGACGAACATTTTAAGGCAAACACTCAGTTTAAAATATTTGCCAAACCGTACGCACATCTAAAAATATCGCGCAATGGGTTCCCATAATTCAAAACAAAAAAAAAGTTATACTGTCGAGCAGGCCGAAGCGCGTGCCCCAACAGCTTTTGTCCCACAATCAACACCGGCACCGGCCCCGACACCTGTTGCCGATCCAGCACCGAGTGTTTTCAACACGGAAATGGTGCCCAAGTGGATTAATGAGTCGCAATTTGTTGAAATACTGAGAGAAAATGTGCCGCAATTCTCAAAGATACAGAGCTTTAATGTAAAGGCAGCCGTGGCTGCTGGCGAGAACTATGCGACGCTCATGCTGAGAGTGAGCATCCAAGCAGAGCTAACTGGTGAGTAAGAGAATGCTGAACGTGACGTCACAAAAGCAAGATTCGACAATAAGGTTGATATTTTTGTTTGAGATAAGCGGTGAAAAGTGGGTGGTCTCTGTTGTCACAATCTTATCAATAAGACAAAAGTGCTGGTAATTGTGGCAGTCACTGTTGGGGTGTGAGAAGCGGGACAAAAAAAATGAGATAACAGTGCACCCAATAAATACTCTTTTAGTTTTTTTTATTATTATTATCATTACAAAGTATACCAAAATTGCAATTATAAACTGAATAATCTAGCGGGTTTATTGCATGACTAAATTGGCCTTCGGCTAAAATACTATTATGTAGCTATCTCTAATTTATTTACAACAATCAATCAACTCAATTGTTGACTTGCAGCTGAAAATCATATTTAGCTATTGTAATCTAACAAAGAATTAATGAAACAAATATTTTATTATTAACGAAAAGGATGAAATTAAATAATACATTATACCAACGTTTTGTACCTTCAATTAAAATTATATTTTTGACAACGCAAAAAAAGGTAACTTTTAATTTTAACTAACTTAAGTTTTATTTCGATATTTATATTTTTAATTTGAGCACAAAAACTATTAATTATTAAAAATTATATATTATTTTGTTTATATATTTAATATTTTCCCAACTAGACAAAACCGTCAAGCCCATTTCTCTAATGATGAAAGTACCACACGATATACCAGGAATGGAACAAATGCTGGAAATGAAGAATTTCTTCGATATTGAAAATGAGGCCTACTTAGATATGCTGCCCAAATTAGAGAAGCTATATAAGTCCAAAGGCCTGGATATAACGTTTGCTCCACGCGCCTACAAATTCAAGGAGAGCCTGAAAACGGAACCGAAACTGGCCAATACGGTGCTCATGTATGATCTGGGTCAGGATGGTTATAAGAATGTGAATCGTCGCGAATGCCTCAATGTTGAACAAACCAAATTTGTGCTGCGCAAAATGGCTCAGTATCATGCCGGTAGTGCCACCTATATGAGCATTCATGGACCATTTAGTGATTTGCTTTCTGAAGGTTGGATAGTCGCGGGCGACGAAAAAGCTAAGGCTATGGCTAATGCAATGTTTGCTCCTATACAAAAAATATTCCTGGACAATCTGAATTGCTATGAGAACTGCGAGCAATATCGTGAAAAGTTGGTAAGTACTTTATAAATGTTGAATTAAAAAAAAAAATAAAACAATGTGTTTATTTTTATATAGGAAAAATATTTCGGCAATATGCTTGAAACTCTATCTCAAATATCACAACCTGATCCCAGTGAATTTAATGTGATGGCGCATGGTGATTGTTGGGTCAATAATCTGCTTTTCAAATTTGATCCCAATGGAAAGATGATTGACATGATCTTTGTGGACTTCCAAAATCCCCGATACGGTCATCCAGCGTGCGATTTGAACTATTTCATCATGACATCTGTGCACTTAGATCACAAGCTCAAATATTTCGATTACTTTGTAAAATACTATCATGATCAGCTGATTGAGCATCTCAAGCTGTTGGACTACAAGGAACGGATGCCCAAGCTGATGGAGCTACAAATGCAAATGTACAAATATGGCGCCCATGCATTCTTGGCCAGTTTTATGGTGCTGCCTATGGTCCTTCTGGATCCTACGGAATCGGCCACATTTGAGAACTTTCTCGGTGCCGACGATAGCGCGTTGAACTTTAAGAAACTTATGTACACCAATAAACGCTATAAGCAATACGTTGAACAAATATTGCCCTGGCTGGACAATCGTGGACTGTTGGAGCCATAGTAAGTGAAATAAGTTACTTATGGAATCTGCAATATATCTATATTTCAATATCCAATGTATTTTATATACAAATTTCAGTGAAACCAACACCCAACCAATTAAAGCCACAACTGTAGCGTCCACCCCAACAGCAACAAAAGCTGACGTGGATTCTATAGTGCCTGACTGGGTTACCAGCGACTACTTTAAGGATAAGCTCAAAGGTCAGATAGCCGATCTGAAGGATATTCAAGATTTCCGTGTGAAAAAGGCCACATCAGCTGGTGACAACTACTCCTCCTTAATGCTCACTGTGGACATTGATTACCAGACCTTAAGCGGTAAAGTTGAAAGCACATCCCTTATGCTGAAAATACCTCCCGGCACTGGACCAGGCAAATCGATACTCGACCTGATGCTCACTTTCAAGAAAGAGATTGCCATGTATAAGGATGTTATTCCAGAGCTGGAGCAACTGTATGCGCAGGCTGGCCACCCAGTTGTCTTTGGTCCAAAGTACTACCAGATCCCAAATGAGCCCGACGAAGATCGCATATTGCTTCAAAATCTGCGTGTTGCCGGATTTAAGAACGCTGATCGCCTGCAAGGACTAAGTACAGAGGAAACAGAGTGTGTCCTGGCCAAGTTAGCACAATTGCATGCGGCATCCGCACAGCTATATGTGACCAAAGGTCCCTATGTGGATTGCCTGGACAAGTCGGTGTACAATGAGCGAACACGTCCAATCTTCGAGAGCCCTATAAATGAGCGTTTCAAGCAATCTTGCATGGACGCTCTGAAAAATATAAAGGGCAGCGAAGACTACGCCCATAAGGTGGTAAGTAAAGAATAAATACAAATAAGAAATACGAAATACGAAAGATCTTCAACGCAAATAGTAATTTTGTGTGTAGTAATTCAAAAAATCTACTAGTTAGAAACATTATTTTTAGTACGAGTATATCATATGTAGCAGGCCTGATGTGGTAATGTAGGTAACAGGCCACTAAATCTGTAATAACATCTGTAACATATGATATCGATATCAATGGATATCGATGATGCGATCACTTAAAGATGAGTTCAGCTTTGTCTGCTGAAAAATTAGGAGTGGGATAAAAAAGTGTAACGCCATGAAAATTAGCACGAAATGCTGGTGGGCTCCAAGGTTAAATGAGTTCGAAAAAGGGGAGCGATCAAGCAGTAAAGCAAAATGATAAAGCTTAAGCGATCTGCTATGCTGCAATGCTTCCGTATCGGCTCCTATCAGCTCCTATCAGCAGCAGACAGTTGAAAATAACGGCGCAGAAAGCGGCCGGAAAATTTCGGCAACGAAAACGACCGTTGTGAAATTAAATATTCAAATTCAATAAGCAGAGTCAAGCTCAGCATCCACGAAGGCGACGCAAAAGGCAACGGCGATAGAAGTCCTATTGGATTTGAAGTGTAATTTTTCAGTAGGAATTTGGATGGATCATTCAATTAGATAATGTTGCCGAGTATTTCCAACTGAGAGGTGCAACGCCGCTTGTTGTGTACAGATAAACTTAATGACAATGGCTGAATGCTGAACCGAATCGCATTGTTAAATAAAGAGAGTAAATTGTTATAATATTTTAGGGTTAGTTTAATGAGTGTGCATTTTAAGATCAAATCTTAGAAAATAAATTGTTATAAAAATAGTTAAATTTGGACACAGTATGGATATTAATGAAATTATGCTTTAATTATATTCTGTGGTTGATAATCCTCTACGAAATTGTTAATTTTGTATAGATGGCAATATATTTCTAATTATCTAAGCTAATCAACAAAAAAATTATATTTTTAAAACTAGGGTCTATAATTTTTTTATAATTCGTCTTTTTTTTTTGTATAGAGATCAGATATGGCAATTTGTGTTTTCTGATAAGATTACAAAAATAATTTATTATGTATAAACTCTATTATTAACAGGAAAAGATCATAACTAACATGTTTGAGTTGGAACAGAAGGCGGGCATCTATGATCCTACTCAGTTTAATGTCATGAATCATGGCGATTGCTGGACAAATAATGTGATGTTCGCTTATGGTCCAAAAGGTGAAATTACGGACACGCTCTTTGTAGACTTTCAGCGCTCGCATTTCAATTCACCTGCTTGCGATCTGTATTATCTGTTGTTGTCGTCGCCCAGTTTTGATATTAAAATCGAGAAATTCGATTACTTTGTGCGCTACTACCATACGGAACTAAAGCGCAATCTGGAACTGCTCAAGTATCCCCGTCACATACCCAGCCTGAGGGAACTCCACAATATTCTGCTGGCGAATCCGCTCCCGGCAGTAACTACGGTTGCACAGGTGATGGCGGCTGTGCTGCTCGATCCCACGGATAATGCGTCTATGGACACCATGATGGGCGACTCTGAAGAGTCCAAAGAGTTTATGTACAAGTTCTACAACGGCGACAGATATCGCAAACATGTCGAGGTCCTCTATCCATGGCTGAATCATAAAGGACTGCTCGACATTGTGTAAGTCTTAGGTGTTTTAATCCTGCACATGTTTTCAAACTTTTAATTTTAGAAAAAAAATCAAGTAAACTGTAAATATGTACATATATATGAATAGTTAAACAATGATTTTTATTGTAAAAGTTACCAAAGAAATGTATTGAAATTCACATAAAATATAAGAATAGCTTTAGCTCAATTGGTCGCATTTAAACAAATGAATAAAGTTTTGAAAATTGTTTGTTACTCTTTTTTAATTGGATCAAATTTATTGGAATATTATTAACTTGAGATAGATCTCATATATGTATACGGTTTTTTAAGAATCCAAACATAATGATACTATTTTAGAACCAATTTTATTGTATTAATCGTTATCTTATCTATATAATGCACAAATTACAATCATCATCATCATTCTTATCGTTATCATTAATGTTATTATCATCATTATATATATTATATATATATATTTATATATATATACATATATAAATATGTATATAAATGTATGCTATATATTATTAGATCCAATTTGAAAATGGTCCATATACAAAACGGAGATAATAACAAATAAATTTATTTATTAGCGATGTCACCGAAAAGTGCTCAGATGACTTGAAATTGGATTGGTTAAACTTTCAAGATTTCAGTGAAATTATTGCTGCCAAAGAGCCTCAATTTGAAAAGATTCTTGGCGGAACTTTGGCCCTTGCTACCAAGCCTGGTGATAATTATGCTTCCAAGATAATCCAAGTAGAAATTAAAGCGCAGCTAAAAGGTGGGTATTGAAAGAGGTAAACCAATCTTGAAGATAACAAACTGTTATATCTCACTAGATCAATCTACAAAGACCTATTCCTACATACTGAAAGTACAGATCAACGATGAAATAGATGAAAACTCCGCATTTAATATGTTTCCCAGGGAGTTGGAAGTGTATGGAAAGTATTTGCCAGCATTTGAACTGCTCTACGAAAAGGCTGGATTATCGGTCACCTTCAGTCCCAGGAGCTACAGATTTAACAAAACAATTGCAGCCGACTATTTGTTAATGGATAATTTGCAGTCGGATGGCTTTAAGATGATGGATCGAACGAATTGTCTGGATCTGGAGCATACCAAAAGTGTGCTCAAAAAACTGGCCCAATGGCATGCAGCTTCACTTAGGTATAAGGAACTGAACGGACCCTATCCGGTCACATATAATGATGGCAACATTAACGACAGAACACGCGACATCTTCATTTCCATATTTGAGCCCAACAATAGAGCTTTCGAGAGGGTCGTTGATGAATACAATGGGGTGGAGGAATATCGTCATAAATTGGTAAGCATTTGTTAACTAAATTGCAAGTCAATAATAAGTATAAATAAATTCAATCCAATTCCCACATTAGGATGCCATATTAGAGAATTTTGTGGACATCATCATAGAAGATGGTCGGGTTGATGAGCAGGAATTCAATGTGCTAAATCATGGTGACTTATGGACGAACAACGTGATGTTTCAGCATAATGAGCGGGGTCAATTGCAAGAGACCTATCTACTGGATCATCAGTGCCCCAAATATGGCAGTCCTGCATTGGATCTATTGTTTTTCCTGATGAGTTCGACACAATTGGATATTAAAATGGATAAATTCGATTATCTGATCAGATGGTATCATGAGAATCTGATAGAACATGCCAAGCTATTGAAATGCACTGGCTTCTTACCTAACTTAAAGGCACTGCATATTATTTTGCTCAAGCATCCCATACTTGGTGAGTTTATAACTTTCTGAAAAATTAGAAACTCATTTTTTTGGCTGTTGTCACTGATCAAGAATTTATACATACATATGTCTTTTGTCTACTACATTTGTACATACATTTTCACAATTATGTGAAGTGCAATTTTTGATAAGAAGTTTTTCGATAAGATAAAATTAAATATAATCCAAGCACTTCTGACGCTGGCAACAACACAATAATCCTCCCATTGTGCTTGCACTGGCGCAGAAAACGCGTATATCACAATTGCGCGGTGATTCTATAATAGTATGTATTTATATATTTAAATATTTAATAACGATACGGATAAGTTCAGTGCATCAACGTTCACAATTTCAAGTGTAAATAGCTCATGTCGCCAACTTATAAAGTTACACCAAGGTTGGATTGTCTTCCAATATTTGTGTTGTGAATATGTTACAGGCAGCAGAAAGCATCCCCAATCCCAATAATTATTTACACACAAATATTCTTTGCCAGATTTTATTAATAACTCTTTAATTGTAGCTGCAGGAACTGTTATAGGCACATTGTCGCTTTTCTTAGAGGAGCCCACAGAGGATCCATTTGCGTCGGATGATGCAATTTTAGAGCATCGATTTAGGAATAAGCTGTACAAGGCGCAGTTTGAGCGCCTTATGCCCTGGCTTAATAAACGTGGACTGTTGGATATTGCATAAGCAATTACAGCTTGATCTGCATTTAACATGTAATTTATTGCCTTTGGTTCAAACAAGCATATATAAACTCTGGAATTAACAACTAATCTCAAATACATATAATAAAATATTTAATTATACAACTAGAACATTACTTAACAGCCAATTTGAAAGCCACATAAATACTGGTTATAAAGACAACAGCAATGGCCAGTTTCTTGAGATTAGCACGATTCACACCTTTGACGGTGCGAAGCAGCTCGATATTCATGCGAAAAACATTGCGACTCTGTTCAATATACTCGGCACGCATCTCATCATCCAGTTTGCCGTAGACGTCATTGAAGATACGGCGTAGCTTGTTCTTCAGCAAGGGTATTCTAATTGGAAAGTATGTGGCCTCACAGCCCACCTGGGAAATGGTGACCTGCTCGGGCATTGGCCTGGCCCGCAGATCGTTTTCATCTTGAATGCCATCATTTTCGGCTGTTGCGGCTGCTCGGGCGGTTGCCGCTGCAGCATCCGTTTCGGCCTGTTTCTGTTGCACCTGCTCAACGCTATCTTTGGGAAATATCCACAGCTTTCGGGCAATCATACGTTTTTTTTGCAGCAACTGACCACCGGACATTAATGCCATGTACATCTGAAAGGCAAAGGCGAAGAGGAGTACCTCATTTTTAGCGGCCATCTGCTCCAGATGGGCTATATACGTTTGGACAGCCGGACGCGGCTCATATGACTTGCGCCAGTCGGACCCATAGAAGTAGTCAAAGTCACGCTCAAAGGCAGCCGTACGATGCAGCTCCTTGGGCAGCAGGCGCTCCGGCAAGTTGGTCTCAAAGAATTTATATAATTCGTAAAAGACCAAAAGTCCATCGTACCAAACCTCATCGTCCGAAAGTGCTGCGCATGTACAAAAAAGTGAACAAATATAATGTTAATTAATCCTAATTATCTTATAGCATATTTACCTATTGCGAATTTGGCATTAACTAATACATCAGTCAACTTGTGGACATCTTTTGTTGCCTGACGAACTTCCTTTGTGAATGTCATATCCACAGTTTCTTCTTTATCTTTGGGTTCTGCATTGTCAGTGGCCTCTTGGCCTAAATTGGGTGTTGGCTCTGCCGTTGACATTTTGCTTGTATGCTGCTTTGTTCCGTTAATGTAATGTTTTATAAATTGATAATGCGCAAATAAACCGCCTCCGTGCGCTTTTACACAATAAAATTCGTTTCGATTTTGCTGTCAGCGATAAGTTGCAATTTATTATCGATTATTATTTAGTATTATATTAAGCTTGAAAAGTCTAGTTTTTTAAAACACATCGTCTTGAGCCACAATGTATTTTAAAGCTTAAAATTAGTAATTTAGTAAGAGCTATATAAGAAAATAGATAGATTTAATAATAATTTAAAAAAATTTTAAAAACTATCGCAAAACCTGTCGATGTATCGATATATATTTTACAGTACTCTTGGGTGATGATTGGCTGTTGTACAACACTAATGCAAGCCTGATGTGCTTGTTGTTTTATTTTTCTCTCGAATTTGCATTTCAATAGTCAAAATTAAGTAAAACACTTGCGTAAAAAACAAATGTAAGTAATTTGTGATTCTTCTGCTCCTGTGAGTTGCGCTTGTTTCCTGCACGATAAACTAAAATGTGGCACCAAGCAAAATATGCACCATGTAATTAACATTAACATTATTATTTTATTGCATGTTTTAAATAACATGCGCTAACACACAAATCATGCACTCACCACACACACACACACGCACATTAATTACAGTACAATACAACATAAACAACTGCAACGCTTTGGTTTCCATCTATTTGCAACACTCAAAACTAACTCGCATTGCTTTAGTTAAAATCACACATCGAATCAAAAAATCATAACTAAATATATATGCAAAAACGAAGAAGAAAACAAAGCAATGTCGGATCTCTTTACCACTTTTGATAGCAACAGCGGCGGGCAACAGCACGAAACGACAACAACAATAATGGCCTCGCCCTCACAGCACAGCCCCATGACAAACAACAGTAACTCATCCTCACAGAACGGTGGCTCAACATCGGCCCCAGTTGGTAGTGGTGGTGGTGGTAGTGGTGTTGGCAGTGGCAGTGGTGCGGGGGCAAGTGGTAAAAGCGCTAGCCACAATACAGCAACTGGCGCTGAGAACACACCAGTAAGCATTCCAATTCCAATTCAACTCAAACCCAAATCTCAAATGATTTTCCCCTTGTTTTAGATGTTAACCAAGCCACGTCTCACGGAGCTGGTGCGAGAAGTGGATCCCGCAACGCAGCTGGATGAGGATGTCGAGGAACTGTTGCTGCAGATCATCGATGATTTCGTTGAGGACACGGTGAAATCGACAAGTGCCTTTGCCAAGCATCGTAAATCAAATAAAATCGAGGTGCGCGACGTTCAATTACATCTGGAGCGAAAATATAATATGTGGATACCGGGCTTCGGAACCGACGAACTGCGTCCCTACAAGCGAGCCGCTGTCACTGAGGCGCACAAGCAGCGCCTCGCCCTGATAAGGAAAACGATTAAAAAGTATTAGAAGTGCTTCGGGTGCTAAGGGGAGTCTCTATGCAGGATTGCTTCTTTTTATTGCAAAGTTTTGGAAATTACACTCCATTTGATTGATTTGTATGCCCTTAAGTTAATAGAATAAGCTAAAAATACAACGGATTTTAGCAGTAAATGCAATGAATATCATCACTGCTCTACAATAGTTTAAATTTTAATCGTATACCTCTTTAAATATATATCAAAAACGTTTTCTAAAAAACTGATATTAATTTCACTGTTTATTTTGCAACTAAATTAATGCAGTAAATTCACTGAATATCATCACTGCTATAAAATAGCTTAAATAAAAATACATTTAAATGATATCCTATATCACTTTAAATGTATTTTCTAAAAAGGCAGTTATTAATTCCAATAATTATCATTAAGTTTCTTAAGAAAACTTACAAAATTGGAACAGGATTATCGAATAAACTTTTATTTTAATTAACCAACATTTTATAAGATTGTATTAACAATTTTTTCAGAGTTTCTAAGGAATATTTGAAAATTTATTCGGCACAAAAATCGTAGATTTTTAGTAAGCTTGAGTTATGTGTATGACATGCAAAGATGACTGTCACTTTAGATGTAATCGATGTACTTACGTGATTAATCGATAGTTGCACGAACTTTTGTCATCACAGTTGCAGTGCACATATGTATTTAATAGATAAGCAAGCAATGGGAATATTGTTTTGTGATTTGTTACTGTTCTTTTATGCCGTTTTCAATGTATTAAAAGTCAATTAGAACGTGACAAAATGAAGCTGCCAGTCATGTGTCGCACTTGCGATGCACGTGAAACGGATAAGCTGTACAAGCTGGCAACGTCCACCAAAAGATTTCCGGATAAACAGCTCGCGGACATTTTGGTCGAATTGACCCACATCGATGTGAGTTGATTTTAAGCTATAATTTGCAGCTAAAATTGCTAATGCATTTGCGTTGCAGCTGGATGAGGCACTGTCGCAACAGCTGCCTCAATGTCTGTGCGGCAATTGTGCCCGCAAATTGATCGGCGCCTATTACTACGTGAAGCAGGCGCTGGCCGCCAACGAGCTGCTGATGCACCATGTGGAACGATTGGACGGCGACAAGACGGGCGCCAACGACTGCCTACGGGAGGCGCCCATGGAGATGTGCGCCGAGCAGCATGTGGAGGTACCAGCACTTGCCTTATACATATATGCCTCAAAATATATATACTAAACAATTATTTGCAGGTCAAGTTGGAAACGGAGGAGGAGGATGCTGAGAATGATATCACCTGCACAGAACTGCCCGAGTTTACCACAGTACAAAATGCAATCGATGTGGAATTGGATGATGAGCTGGATGGCAAAAAGACGGCAGATCCACTCAATATGCTCGAACCAGTTAAGCAGGAAGAGGATGTTGCAGCTAGAGCAACAAATGCACAGGCACAAGAACTTAAGGCTGACCTGGATGAGGAAGAGTAAGCAGCTGTTGATGAGGGACACCAACTGAGGATATATCTATGTACTTATTACTTCTATATATTTCAGCTCTCTGGATGATTTGCCATTGCAAGAGCGCGCCAGGAAGTGGAAGCAAACGTCTAAGTTGCACACTCTCAAACGAGCCATCTTCAAGTGCAAGGAATGCCCAAAGAACTTCAAGCGCATCGACCTATTGAAGCAGCATGCATCCCGGGCGCACAAATCGAAGACGGATTGGTTGTCGTGCTCCTTTTGCATACGCAAGTTCAGTCACCGGGAAGCGTTGCAGATGCACCTCAAGGTGCATCGCGACTCCAAGCGATCGGCGAATCTGGGCGAGAGCAAAAAGGCCAAGGACATCGATGTGAACGTATGCAAGCCGCATGGCTACAAGCTTATCGAATGCATGATCTGTCAGAGTCAATACGATAAGATTGCGGACCTGCGACGTCATCTGGAGCAGCATCCGGAAATAGTTGGCTTTGGGGCACGCTCGAATATGCAACCACATGAGCTGGCCGAGCTCTTCTACCCGGATGCCAAGGGTGTTAGCGAGGATCAGTTGAAGGCGCTCATCCGCAAGGATCTCTCCGCGGGCATCTATCAACGTTTCTACTCGATAACCAATCAATCTGGCTACGAAATTGATCTGTACAGCTCCGAGACGGAGAGCGAGGCTGAACTGGATGCCGAGGAGCGAGATGCGAATCAGCAGCGCAGCATACCCAAAGCCAAATACAGTTGTGAATTGTGCCACGAGCGCTGCCAGCGCAAATATCAGCTGTACGATCACCAGAGGCAGATGCACGCCTGGCTGGAGGCGCCACACGTCTGCGGCCGTTGCGATGCCCGCTTCGTCAGCCTCCAGCTGTTGCGGCATCACAATGAGCTACAGTGCAAGAATGCCCAGAAGCGATTCCTGTGCCACAGGTGTCCGTTGCGCTTCCGCTGGCGGCACAATCTCAAGGCTCACATACGCGAGCATCGCATCACAGTAAGCACAATCAAGCATATGGCGTGATCTAATCTAAAACGAATCCCTTTCAGAATCAAACGTTCGAGTGCAACGATTGCAAGCGTGTCTTTGACAAGAAGAAGTCGCTGACGGTGCACATGCTCAGTGTGCATGCCGAGGAATCCAAACTGATACCCTGCCAATGGTGCACGCGCAAATTCTATCGTCGCGATTACCTGGTTAAGCATCTGAAGCGTCATGGGATACGGGAGCAAGATATACCGCTGGCCGAGACACTTATTGCGGCCACATCAAAACCGAATGGCGCCAAACGGATCACGTGCAAAATATGCAATCTGCACTTTGAGCGCATCAGCGATCTGCGCTCGCACATTCAGCTGGAACTGAAGTTGGCCCTCTCCATGCACCAGAACTATGATTCGCCGCACAACTACTCGATCACAAACGAATCGGGCTATGAACTGCAGCTGGGCGACTCCGAAACGGAGGATGAGCTGCACATGCAGTCGGCATCCTCGCCACCAAGTCCACGCTCCGTCTACATCTGTGAACTGTGCAAAGTGCAATGCAAACGCAAATTCGAAATGATTCAGCATCAGCGTGCGATGCATCGCTTCGACAAGATGCCGTACGAGTGCGAACTGTGCATCTTCAAGTGTGTCTGCAAGGTAAGTTCCTTGTTGATGCCCATATCTCTTTCCTCTTTTTCTAATTGTTAACTTCATACAGAGCATCATGGAGCAGCACCGGCAATCGCAGTGCCACAGCACGGCGAAGCAGTTGTCGTGTGGCAAATGCAGTTACAAATTCATGTGGCCGGAGAATCTGCAACAACACATGATGCTGCAACATGGCAGCATCGCTGACAGCACCAGCCCAGCGGAACCAGGCGCAACTAACGCCAATCACATTCCAGCCATTCCAGCGGATCCTCCTGCAGATAGTGTCCAGCTGTTGCAGTGTCCGCACTGCGATCGCACGTATCAAATGAAGTCGCGGCTCAACAATCACATACGGGACGTGCACATCAATGGGGATCGCAAGCGGAAGGAGGCAGTCAAGAAGTTCCTGTGCTCGCTGTGCGGCCGGGAAACGCAATCGGCTGCCACATTGGTCACGCATATGCGTCGCCACACCGGCGAGAAGCCCTTCAAGTGCGATCTGTGCGAAATGGCCTTTCCACGACACTCGGAAATGATATCGCATCGACGCATGCATACGGGCGAGAAGCCCTTCCATTGCACCGTCTGTGGGAAGGATTTCGCACGATCCGACAAGCTGAAGCGGCACATGCTCACGCACAGTGGACTGAAGCCATACAAGTGCACCTACTGCGACAAGAGCTATCGCCAGGCCAAGGATCTGAAGCTGCATCTCCAGCAGCACACCGGCGAGTGCACATTCGTCTGCGGCACTTGCGGCGAACGCTTCATTCAGGGCACAGCGCTGGAGAAGCATCGCATGATGCGGCGCCATTTCGACGAGGTCGAGGAGCGTGCCACAAGCACACTAACTGCATAGGCCGATTACCTTTAGCTAGAATATAGTAATATATAATTTAAATACAAAATATATATATATATAAATGCTCATATTAACAGACTTACGTCTTCCATGTGAAGAAAATCTATAAACTAATATTTTTGTTCTTATTTTTTATGAGGGAGGAGCTGCTGTCAAAAGTTCGCGACATATTTAATTAATTATTATTAACTATAATTTACTGGTAACTTGTTGATCTATTTACACACTTATTTAATCTTTTGTGAGAAACATTTTCGGTTATGAGAGCAAATGTTTATTAAAAGGGATAAAAAGCAATTGAAAAACAAAACTTGGCAGTTATCATTTTCATATTGATATAATAATAAATGGTTTTTATTTGGAATATTGCTCTCATAAGTTTGCAGCGTAGAATTAATTTAATTAATTGGCATCTTGTTGATCTAGTTGCAATTTTGTGAGACAAATTTTTGGTTAAGGCGGGTAAAAAGCGAGAAAAAACGAATCTGTCAATTAGATTATTCAGCTGTAGAAATATAAATGAACTTGACTATTTTAATTAATGGTTTTTGTTCGGAATTTTGTTCTAATAAGTGGGCAGCTTAGCTTTAATTTAATGGTATCCTGCTGATTTAATTACATTTTTTATTTAATTTTATTAAGAGTGATAAAAAACACTAATCTGACAGTTATATTTTAATTAATGTTAATTGTGTAATTTGGTTCTTATAAGTTTGCAGCTTAGCTTTAATTTAATTTACGTATATGTTTTTGATCTAGTTGCATTATTATTATATTTTGTATGGGAGAAACTTTTGTTAATGAGAGCAAAAGTTTATAAAAAGGGATAAACAAAAAAACGAATTTGGCAGTTAAAAATTACATTGATAAGCTAGAGCAAATATAAATGAAGAACTAACGTGACATGTTTCAATTAAAGTTGTATTTGGAATGATGTTCTTATAAGATTAATTTACTCTAATCTGGTTGATTTAGTTGCATTTCTATTTAGATTTTTTACTAAAGCAAAGGTTTTAATAAAAGAAATAAGAATGAGGAAAACCTAATCTGGCAGTTATATTTTTCATATTGCAGCTTTACAACTGTCAGCAATCTATAAATCCTCGGAGCCACGTGAATCGATTTTCATCATTTCCACATCGAAGATGAGCACAGCATTGGGCGGGATTTTGCCACCACCCGCTCCACTGGCGCCATAGCCCAGTTCGGGGGGAATGGTCAGGGTGCGGCGTTCGCCCTCGCACATGCCGAGCAGTCCCTGGTCCCAGCCCTTGATCACTTGCCGTGCGCCCAGTGTGAATGAGAACGGTTTGCCGCGATTGTGACTGCTATCGAATTCGGTGCCATCTGCTAGCGTTCCCTGAACAAAAATACAAATTGATAAGCCGCAAACCAAAACTGACGTGTCCGATTAGGGATTGTCCCGTTACCTTGTAGTGCACGTGTATCATGTCGCCTCCTTTCGCCTTTCGCGAGCAATTCTCGACGCGTTTCTTGACGCCAATTTTAACTTTGGGCGCTTCATTTGCAATTGCAGCGCCAAAAAGCGCACAGACCAACAATAAGTATTCAAGTTTCATTTTACCTCACAACTTTGGTTTTTCACAACGCAAGCGAATATGTTATCGCCGATGTATCGATAAGTCAGTGTGATTTTTTAAGTCATCGATGCGGTCATTTGCCATTCACAGCGCAATAGGCGCCAAATATTTGAATTGAAATGTTTCATCGTTTTTTTTTAGCTAAATATTTATTTAAACAAGTTACACACATTAAAGCTCTTTTCAAATACAAATTTAGGCCGAAAATAATAGTTGAAACTGTTTTGTTTTCTTTTGTTTTGCATTCATTAAAATTAAAAAAATGTACACAACATAATTGCAATAATAAACAAAGCCTTATTATAAATATGCAACAGATTATTTAAGAGATTTACAAATATACGAATATATCACAATAATAAAGGAATAATACATACATTCTTAAATGAAAATTTCAAGCACTTGTGCACAAAATCAAAAAGAAAACTGCATGTGTATAAAATTATATTAACTACATACATATACATATAATCTAATATACTAATAGAATACAATATAAATACAGACATATATATATATGGATTTAGATATATGGGCTATGACTATAATATGTATACAGCGTGTATATAAGGACTTCAATTGGTGTACTCGAGTCTCGAGGCAAAGTCTCAATTATCATTTGACAGATTTGTGATTTTGGTCGCATACATATTGGCCACCTTATAGATAAATTCGTATTGATCCTTCGTTTGTACGGCACTCGCCCTTCCCCTCCGCACATAGTACACCAGCTGTGGTATGTCCACCGAACGCTTCGGCGTCTCCAGGCTCCTTATAGCCATGTCACAGGCAATAATAGTCCCAGTACGGCCCGTGCCTGGGGAGCAGTGAATCGTTAGCGGTCTAAATGTGGCCGAATCGAGAGCATGTGGAAAATACACAAAGAATGAAAACAGAACAATTAAACGGAGAAAAACGCATGCAGCACAAAACACAGTCACATTGCAATTGTTAATTGACAACTGGATTGCCAACTATATACATACAAACATATAAAATGTATATGTATGTAGATGTATATATATATGTCTCTAGCTATATACATATAGACATACAGCTGTATGTATGTTGCCTGTACCCAATTTTACATAATGCATCATTTTAAAATGAATGGGGCTTAATTAATTCATACTAATTGTTTTTTTTGTTTGATGGAGTTTTTTTCTGGTTTTTCCCAATTTCAAAATCCCCCGAAATCTTATAAATATTTCTTATTTGTAAAATTGTAAATAAATTTAAATTTAAATTTAAAAATAAGTTAATTCAATTTGTTACTCTTTTCATTGTTTGTGTCGACTGACTTTAGTTGACCTTAAATAAAATAAATAATCCAACGTTTAATTATATTTCTACTTATTCCTTACCCAAAATGACTTCTGTTTAGCACAAAAATGATCAAGAAAAAACTGCCCGTTAGTAAACAGTTACGGAAAAAATAATAGTAGATCTTCTGCAATTTTTTTGTCAAATTTATATTTTGTATATATTATCTAGAATTCCCTTTATAAAATAAAATTTAATACTGCTCCTAGAATTCTTTGTGAAATTTGACCATTTTTTTAATTTGATGGGAAATTTGCCACCAAATGGCGAAAACATAATAACACCACTTACATATTTTATAGTAATTTGTTATTATGTCTAATTTTCATAGTTATAAGTGCACATTTCAAAAAATGTGCTATTATTTGATTCCTTGATTCTCTTAATTTTTCGTAAAATTTAATTTTTTAGTTTTAGTTTTAAATAAATTTAAATAAGTTGAACATTTTTTTAAAGTCTTCTTCCACTTTTTAGTTTCTTAGGCTTACAAAATATATAAATATATTTATACAAAAGAGCAATACCAACTTTAATTTAATTTATATTGAAAAAAATGGCAAAACTCTCTGCATTATCAATATCAATATGTATGCGCTATTCAAAGTGGGTACAGGGTATATCCAGCTAGCCGGGTCGTCTCGACTAGAGAATTTTTAAGTTGCTTCAAGTTATTTTTGTACTTACCCCTGTTGACTGTGTGGCATTTTGTTGGCCACATTGCCGTTAATCTCATTGCTTGCCGCACTGGATGTGCTGCACTTTTCGGCATCCGCCCCGTCCGGATTTGTCCGCTTCGATTCGCCCTCGAGCGATTTGAGCGTCAGTGTTGAGGACTTCTCGTGCTTCAGCTCATTGGCCTGTTCGAGGGCGTACGATTTGAGGGAGGAGCGTGCCTCCAGCAACATGGCTATGATGGGCGCCTCCTCGACGGGAACACCGGTCTCGGGCCATTTGTACCAGTAGTGGGTGAGTTCGCGACACTCGTCGCCATCCACACGCTTCAGCATTAGCGTTGAGATCGCATATTTATCCTTGATCTCGCGATGCTTCAACGTCACCTGGTAGTCGCCGTGGCTACTGTGATTATCCAGCGTCACCGATGGCGGCAAATACTCCCCACAGCGCTCAATGCCGTTCTCGTTGAGATCGGTTGCCTGGATAATCACCCGCGACTGCTGCTCCCAGATCATGCGCCAAAAGTCACCAGTTGTGGTTTCCAGGGGCGCCTGGCAGGCTATATAATAATTGGGCGCATCTCGTGGTCCCTGTAGAAAATAGGGATAGAGTTTAACATAAATGTTAATGTGCAGAAGAGTGATATAGTTTAACATGAATGTTAATGCAGCACTGTAATATAATGCACTAACATAACTAGCATAATGTTAACAACTGTTGCATTTTAACATTAATTCAACATAAATTCTACAAAAGTGTCAATCATTTTAATAATAAAGCATCAATGACTCAACTAAAAAAAGCATTCTTTTCCATCAGAATTAGTATTTACAAATGAAATTGAACATTTTCACAATATTGTAGTCAAAAGAGATCCACTGAAGAATTATAGTACCCATTTAGGTACATTTGTACCGCCTGTAATGTTATTATTTAGCATACATAATGCGTACACATAATGTTACACATACATAAGCAGGTGCGCAATGATATAACAGTTAATTAAAATCTTTGCAGCGAATACAAAAGTGATTACTGAGTAATTTTGTATTCGCTCTCGCTTAAGTAAGCTCACGCTTCTTATGTGTACGTGTGTGTGTGTGTGTGGGAGTGGAACTGTGAGTCATTTAATGGCTGCCGTTGAGCTGCGCGCGCTTTTGATAAATTGCTACAGTTGTACATGTATAAGTAACACACACACACATATATATATATATATATATATATATATATATATATATATATATATATATATATATATATATAAATATATAAAGTTAGTTATAAATGTAAATCACAGCATGCTTGGCTTATCGCCAGGTGTGCGATGTTTTTGCTGGCAAAATATATATCTTTAGCAGCCCTTGATGCAGTTGGGCGGCTCAATGAATTTTAGCAGACGTCTGGAAGCGCATCGCACGCATCACGCGTCACGCCTCAATGCTGCTGGTGTAATGAATACCCTAAGCATTAACAGAAGCCTAACAGTTTTGGCAAATGTTTTAACATAGCTTGAACTGAGCACTTTATTTATATCTTCTTTTTTTTGTCGTGATCCAACAATAAAAGTGAATCACTGCCGCTTTTTATGGAAGTAAACAAAATTGTAAAGACGTCAAAATGATAATGATAAATTAGCAGTGGAATATAATTCAATGCTAAAAATAATTAAAAACGAGCGTCTTGCTTTTCTTTGGGCAAAAAAACTCACATTTTTTGCAAATATAATTGCATTTCACGTTGACTAAAGCGGACCAAGCACGTCTCATTCAATTAAAATGAATTAATCATAAAGCTTTTAGTTGTGCATTTAATTTCCTAGCATAATTCGTTTAGGATATTCATACTTCGTAGTAGACTAAAAGCAAAAAACAAACAAAAAAAACTTTCCCCCACTTTTATGAATATAAAGCATAAGGTTTTTATATTTCGTATACGATTATTATGTTGTTGTTATTGTTTTTGGTGTTTTTGTTTTTCTTTTTTGCACAAAACTCATTTGCTTACAACAGGCGATGTAACAAAGAGGTTGAAACAATTTTCTTGGCACTTCGCTAATCTCATGGGCCGTATAATTATGCCCACACACACACTCGCACACACACGTCATGCAAGGCTAGACGTAGTGGCAACTCTGGGCGGTACCGTTGTAAGACATACACACACACTCGCACACACACATACCCACCCACATGTGAGAAAGCTGCTGCTGCTTGTGGGAGGCAGCTTTTGATTGTTTTTTGTGTTTTTCTTATCGTTTGTTTTTGCTTATGGTTTGGGTTTTTGAGGAGATGAAAGAGAGAAAGGGAAAGGGGGATTATTCGTCATCTAACTTACCCGCACATAATTGGCATTAATGTATTCCGTTTTGTCATCGTCACCCTGTCGCTGGAGCACCACACGCGTCTCAGGAAGTGGAATTACGTTGGCGTAACTGCGGTTTCAAGTTTGAGGTTACATTGAATGAATGAATAACGATCCAACGATCCAGCGATTCATCGATTAACGATCAACGATCCATATACATTTTGATTCATTGATTAGGAAGCAAATACAGCAGACAATGCGTACATATAAGGAAAATGATAGATACATAATCTTATGAGAGACTTGTAATACAAGTGAGATTTGATTAATTGAGAAATGAAACCTTTTTAAGATTGAGTAATAATTTGTTGTTTCCCTGGAAAACAATTTGAACTTGAATTTTTTTTTTTTGTTATCTCAATTATGCTCCTTCTGTGACTAAGTAAAGAAGTTATCTTGGAATTATTATTATCAATTAGTCTTTCATTCATGCTTCGTCTGTTTCTATGTAATCAGTCCTCTCAGCTATCTTTACTATACTTGACACAGATATAAACTATATCATTAAAACTTGTCGACAGTTTGTTACCAAAACTTCAGATTGAAAGCCTTATTTTGCTTTTCATATAATCAATTGCTCAAAAATATTGTATATATCTGTTTAATATTATATTACACATACGTATATAATAAAATTCTCATCTGCAAGCGTATTTCCTTTTCGTCACTTCGAAATGAACTTTATTTGATAATTGTTATTTCCTGCGATTAGATAAGATAGACTATTTTTGACAAACATTGTCACTTTTCGCAGAAGCATCTCTCAACTTTTGAAGCTAAACTAAGAAATCTATAAAAGCAATTAACGCTTATTTCTTCCAATTTTATTCTCATTTTATAAAATTCTTCTTTTTATGGCAACAATTTCATTATACTAACAAATCTATGTTTTGTTCCAATAATATTCTTATTTATAAAATTTATAAAAGTATTACTGTTTATTTAAATCTCTTATACGTTTTTATTTACTCAATTTAATAATATCTTAATTATGACTACAATGTCAGTCTTTTAAAGCTAAACTAACAAATATATAATAGCAATTAACGTTTTGCTTTGTTCCCGTTTTGTTAACTTATTATTCTCCTCTTCTAAACTTGTTACCGATTATTTAATACTTTGTTTTTAATATTTTTCGTTACTTCATTTAGTAAGCTCATTTTTTTGTGGCAACTATTTCATTTACTTCTCAAGCCTTTTACTGATTTCTTCTTCTAATTTTACTTCTATATTCATTTATATTTATATTTATAGTTCTACTACATCTTTAACTCACCGATTTTTATCCTCACATCCCGCTGGGACCTCATCAGCTCGCGCAATGATCTGCGGCACATCGCGGAACTCCTCAAAGATGCTCGAGCGTCGCTCGACAAACTTGCCCAGTTCGATGGCGCTGAGCACATTGTGCCGCAGTGAGGGATCATCGAAGGCGGCATTGCCATAGGTGCGCTTCGAGGCACGCAAATCGCGCACCTTGCGCCGCACACTGCCCCCCAGCACGGACACATTGTCCAAGGAGTAGTCGTCGAGACTGACGGGACGACATCGTTGGCCGTAGGATGTCTGCTTTTGACGCTTGCGCATCAGATAAAGGAAGGCAACGAGTAGAATGAGTGCCACAACGCCAATAACACTAACTGTTATCGCAATGATGACGTTCACATCGGTGCCAGTGTGGTCATGCGGCTGTTGCATCTGATCCAATTCTTCAGTCAGTTGTGGTGGCATCAATGTTGTCGTCGTGGACAGATCTACGTTGCCACTGTTAACAACAGTGGTGGTGGGCAGCATGCTGTTACTGTGTATGACAGTTGAGCTGTAAATAGGCTCCGTTGTTGTTGTAGTTGTTGCTTTTGTTGTTGTTACGGCTTCAGTTGTTGTCGTTGTTGTTGTTGTGGTGCTATCATCCAACAAGCTAATAAGCGGCTCTACTGTCGTTGTTGTTGTTATTGTTTTAGCTGTGGTGCTCGTTACTGTTGCTGCTGTTGTTGTTGTTGTTGCCTCTGTTGTCGCCATGTTTGTTTCGTTTACCAACTGTTGCTCTGTAACGGTATCATGCTCAATCTGCTGCTCATCTTCATCATCATAAACTGAGTCTTCACCCTTTGCAGCTGTTACTGCTGTTACAGTGTCATTTGCTGCTGTTATTGTTATTGTTGTTGTTGTTGTTGCTGCTGTACTCTCATCCAAAGCATTGACAACTGCAGCACCTGCTGCTGTTGAAGCCTCTGTTGTTGATGTTGATTTTGCTGTTGTTGTTGTTGTGATTGCAGCCGTTTCGCTTATGTTATTAGTTTCCAGCAATGTTTCATGCTCATTCAGTTTGCCGTTAGTTTTATCATCTATTAACAGCGACGTGGGTGTTGTTGTTGTTGTTGTAAATGTATTGCTGTTATTTATTTGAGTCTTATTGATTTGTAGCGTATCGCTGTTAGCAGCACTGTTATTGATTTGCGGCGTTTGACTGTTTGCAGCACTGTTATTGATATTTTCGGCACTGTTTGTTAGCAACAAATTGTTGATGCCACTTGTTTGCACATTATTCTTGTCAGTTATATCAATTTCGCTATTTTCTTTTGTCACATTCTTAATTGGAATTGCTGGTAAATTCACTTCATTGCTAATTTGGACAATTTCCGTTGGCGTAGGCGTAGTCAACGAAATAGCTGCTGTTGTTGTTGTCTCGAATAGTTCATCAAGCTTTGCGTGCAATAATCCCGTCGTCGTCGTTGACGTCGTCGTCGTCGCTGTTGTTGTGCTCTCTTCGCCAGCTGTTCGCGTACTAACCGTTATTGGCTGGCGCTCAATTGACGCCAGCGTCGTTTGCGCGTTGCTCGTAGCGACCGAGACGTTGATGACGTCGTCGTCGTCGCTGCTGCTGCTGTCGACATTGTTGCTTTTATCACCAGTTTCATTATTTTCATGCGCCGTCGCTTTCATTGCCATTTCATTTGCATTGCGGGTGCCGTTCAACGGACTTGCTAAAGTGCTTGTTGTTGCAGTTGTTGTTGCTGCTGTTGCAGTTGTTGTTGCTGCTGTTGCAGTTGTTGTTATTGCTGGAAGCTCTGGAACAGCTGTTGGCAGTGCAGCAGGTGGCATTCTGGTTGTTGTTGTTGTTTTCTCTGTCTCTGTCTCTATTGCAGCTGCTGTAGTTTTTGGCAGCTCAAAGTTAATCTTTGCAAAGTCTGTTAACGCTGTCTTAACAGTTGCAATTGTTGTTGGTTCTGTTAAGTTTTGTTGTGCTGACTCTGTTAATGCTGGCTTAACAGTTGCCGCTACAGTTTCTTGTGCCAAATTTAGTTGAGCTGACTTAACAGTTGCAGTTGTTGTTGCTTCTGTTAAGTTTGGTTTCACAGCCTCTATTAATGCCGGCTTAACAGCTGTAGTTACAATTTCTACAGCCAAGTCTGTTAACGCTAGCTTAGCCGATGCATTTCCAGTTGCTGTTACATTTGAACTGATCTCTGTTAACTCTGTCTTAACAGCTTCAGTCGTTGTTGCTGTTGACTCGCCTGCTGCCAAGGTTGGCTTCGCCTTAATAGCTTCGGTTGTTGTCACTATCTCATTTGTGGCACTGCTTTCTGTTGTTGTTTGATTAACACCACTTGCTGTTACAGCGCTGCTAGCAGTTGCTTGCATTTCCATCTCCTTTTCACTTAGCATAGCAGCTAATTTTTGGGTGGTGGTTGCCTGTGTGGCTGCCTCGGTGGCATCCAATGTGGTGCTCATCGTCAGCTCTGTTTGATTCTCTTGGCTCGTTTGCATCAATGTTATCTGTTGCCAGTCTAAAAGATTTTTCTCCTTGTGCTGTTCCGTTTGATTTTGGTGCTGTTGCGGCTCAATATCATTGGCTAGTTCTGTGGCATTAGCATTGGTCTGTGACAAAGTGGTTGTTGTTGGTGTTGTTGTTGTTGTGGGCACCATTTTCATGGCAGCTAAGCTCCACACCTCGGCTGCATTGGGCAGCAGCAACTGCTGTGCATTTGTCGAATTTGTCGAGTCGCTAATGAATTTTGCCCGCTTTTCGAACTGCGATTTCAGCTGCTCCTCCTCAATAACATTCTCATGCGACGCAATGTTATTAGGCGTAACAGTGACGCCGGCATGCAGCAGCGCTGCCAGCAGCAGTGGTGTATGCGTAGTTGTTGTCGTCGTTTTTCTTGTCATGGGCAGTGGTCGCAGCTTCATTGGCGTAACGGGGAGGAGAGGGGAGTAGCTTTCAGTGCTGCTTACAAATTGCATGGAGCGTGCATGATCCTCAGACCGACCTGTTAAGGTCGTTGCGGGAGCTTTAGTTGCTTCTGTTGTTGCTGTTGTTGTTGTAAGCTCTTGCTGCAGTTCTGTTTGTTGTGTTAACAGTGGCTTGAGCTTTTGCTGTATTTCTACATTTGGTATTGCTGTTGTAGACTTAAGCTCCTTATTCATATTGAGCTGAGCCTGTACAGTTTCTGCTTGTGCTGATGTTGCTGTTACATTCTGTAGAGTACTGTCGTTGCTAAGCTCTATATTCTGTAGAATATCACTGCTACTGTTAAGCTCCTGTTTTGTCGCTTGGAATGCCTCTACAGTGCTGCTGATGTTATTAACAATGCTTAATTGCTCCTGCTTGGATACTATATTTGCATTAAAAGCTTCCTCACTTCTAGTTTCCGTGTCAGAAATAACAGCAAGCTTTGCCTGTTGCTTTGCAGCTTCTGTTGTGGGCTGGTCTTTAAGCTCTGCCAAGCTGCTACTGTTATCTCCTTTTAAGTTGGGTTCCTCTTCTGTTACACTCTTTGCTCTATTTTCTGTTACTTCCGATCCGCTGGCACTTTCACTGCTTGGCCTAACAATGTCACGGTCAGCTGTGGACGCATCCACGCCTATGTTATCCACCACATTGGGGGTTTCTCTTTTCGCAATGAAACGTGCCTGCGTCGGCGTTGGCGTCGCAGCCCAAAGCAACAGCAGCAGACAGGCGCCCATGGCCCAGTGGAGCGACCGACGCATATTGCCTCCTTCTCTCTCGCTCGCTCTCAATTGAAATTCTTCGTGTGGCTGCGCTTGAAAATTGTTGCTGCTATTTTGCAGCTGTTCTCCTGCGACTCAAAAAAGCTTAAGTTATATTTTTGTTGTTGTTGTTGTTTTTGATGCTGGTTATTGTTATTGTTGTTAAGTTATGTGCCCATTTTAAACGATTTTGTTGTTTCAGTAATTTTGTTATTTGTTTGTTTTTTTAGTTTTGTTTTACTTTTGTTCACGTTGCCATTTTGTAATTATGCATTTCAATGAGCGCGACCTGCAAAAAGCGTAAAAAAACATGAATTAAAAATACAATTATCAATTTAGCAAACATTTTTACTATAAATTATTACAGTTAATTACTAGTAAAGTTTCTAGCAGTGTTTCACTCTTTAAGGTTCCAACTATGAAGGTCAGGAACGTTCAAGAATTCCAAAGAAAGCGAACGACCAACAAAAAAAACCCCCAATAATTTCCCTTGCTTCAACAGGCAATCAGTTAAACAATTTCCACCTAAACGTTTAGAATGTCATTAAGCCACGTACAAAAGTTGCCTGGAACACGATTTAATTATCGATGGATTCCATAAGTGTCGCAAGGTTCAAGGTTAAGGCGTATACAAGCAATGCAAATAGGTCAAGTAAAGTGGAAAGAAATTATAAAAATAGATTTCTTTTTACAGACTTACAACTAAATATGTTGGCTAAGAATACCATATTTGTTTAATGACCATTTGACAACATATATTAATATATGTATATTAATATAATATATATACAATATATACTATACAAATATGTTGATATAAATAAGTAGTTAAAAATAATTTTATATTGATTTCTTTGAACACCCAAAAGGAAATTCTAAAGTCAATTTAGTTTTCAAAGGCTCAGAGCGCTATAAAAGTGATCGAAGAAGTATAGATATGGAAAAAGATCATTTTACTATTATTGAAAAAATAATAATCAATTATTTTCAACACAAACAAGTAGAATTAACTACAACCTTCACAGTCGTTATCATTTAAGCAATACCAGCAGAACCTTTTCCAACACTTCTCTAGCACATTATTAATGTATTATTCCATTCTTATGCACAGTAGAAACTCATTACACGTAATAATGCTTACTTCATCATCATTAGGACTCCAATTTGCTTAGGTAAATGCTCATTTATATAGCAATTTTAGTAATGCCATAAAGCAACTAGCAGAACTTTATTACAATGTTGAGCAATGGCAATTCACTTACGATATGTATATATAGAAATCAAGATGTTAACTTTGACGCACGCCAACTTCGAACTAAACAATTGCCCCAAAGAGTTCAATGTACCTGGTTCGAAGTGGAGCCAAATTATGCTCAAACTTGAATATGACGGCTATTGATGAAATGAAGTGGAGCAAAAGTAAGCAGGCAAGTGTTGGGTTCATTCAACTGCAGTCAGCACACCAGCACAAACAGCACACACGCCATTTTCAATGCAAATTGGCCCAAAAGCAAAGTTCATCGTCTCGTATGTGGCAATAATAACAATTTCATGGCATAGTATATCTATTTATATATATATAAGGCAATCAGGTTCATAATACAACATAGTAGTAGCTATTTGGGGTTGGTTTCATTCACTATTCCCTATTCACCATGGTTATCGTTGCTTTGTTATCTACTGATTCGCCTGATGTCATGTCAATAATGCATGCAACTGTCTCCTGGGCTCCAGGTGCTGTTGTGGTAATTGTGTCTAGGCGTGGGTCACGAGGTGGGCTTAGCCGGGTGCCAATTAACGTTAAAAGCAACTGCCGCACGGTGGTTTATAATATGATGAAATCAAAAGAAAAGCGAATAATATTTTATAGTAATTTAATATGCTCTAAAAGCATTCGTCAATTTTTAAAAGAGCTGTTAAAAAATAAATATTTAAAATTAAATCATTAAAATCTAAATTATAGTAATGACTTCATTTAATTAAATTATTTATTTGATGTGGACTAAAAACCAATCATAATTCTTAAAAGAGGCTTGTGAAAATAAATATGTGAAATTAAAGTTACAAATTAAATTATACGTTATTAAATGGGAGTAGTTAAACTACAAACTTTAAATTAAAAAAAAATTTTAATGTTTTTAAGGAGTTCTTTAGTTATTTAGTCAATAATATACAAAATTTGTATACAAAAATTCTTATATTATGTGCATATATAATTAAGATGCTTTCGAACCAGTGTGCTTTGGTGATAGCGGCACATTGATGCAAGCGTGAGGTGTGGTGTTAAAACAAGTGGGACAAGGGAGTTTCTGGTCGCACATGGGACATTAATGGACGCCTGGGCATATGCACATTTGATGCAGTTGGGAATTATTGAGAAATTTATTTAAAAATATTCAAATTACTCAGCACAAAAGTTCGTTAAAAATGTACACAAAAATTGTTATACGCATAATCTCTGAACGTTTGTTTGCTGGCTAATGCTACAAAAGGCCAAAACGAAAAAAAAAAACATATGACAAACTCTGTGATAAGATTTGTTTGCAGTCGCACAAGCAGCTCTAAACTCATATACAGCTGGCAGTAATATTTTGTAACTTTTTTTTTCTGAATGTCAACTTTGCAGTTGATAAGACAACGGAACGCAAAGGTAAATTATTATCAGTATCATTGGAGGCCGGTAGCCTGGCCGATTGTCTGCCCGCCCTCTTACCTCAAGGTGAATAATTGTGATTGCGATTGCTTTGGTGCCACAACAATTTCCATACCACCGCGCAAACAGTGGCAGCTATCGTTAAAATCATACCGCAATTGGGTTAATGCCCAAGATAGGCGAACAATTTTAGGGAACAACATAAATATATATATTATTAAGTTATGAGGCCTTAAAAGAAATGTGTTTGTTTATGGAAAACAATTAAAGTTAGATTGCTAGATATAGTGTTGACAATGTGTTGACAAAATATTGCAAGAAAATGAAATTTTATATGTGTTATAGAACGAGGAATATAAATTAAATTATCTAACTTCAACATGAAGTTGAAAGCTAAATGATTTAGTAGTCAGATGTTGATAATTTTTTGTCCAACTGATAGAAGCGTAATAAAACTCATAGTTTGTGAATTTGACTGGGAATAATTTGTTTTAACAAACAAGGTTTCTCATACAAGAAATCATCTTTCGACCGATTTACTGCTCCCACTTATGTATGCTGATCAAGAACATATGTATATATATTCCTCATGAGTTTGGAGATGTCCTCTTCAAAGCTTTACATGATTCGCGACATAATTAAAATATATTACAATCGGGTAGATAGATATAGCGAGGGATAGAGCATGCATTTGTAAATAAATATTTCGTATCTAACAACTTTTATATACAAAAGAAACCTAATCACAATTATTATATCTTGAAGTACTGTTTGCTGGGCAACAATACGATACGATGTAAGCCGATTATTGTGGGTCCGAAGACTATCGATAAAAATAGAGCATACTTTTAGGCATAACGTAAAAACATCAAACATAAAAAGTCGAGTAAATGGCTGCCCGCCAAACAAGTATTATTTATAAAAAAAAATTAGGATGATAATTTAAAAAAATAAAACAAAAGAGAAATGGCTTCCTATTATTTATTGAATATATATAAGATATATATAGATATCGTAGATCAATCAAAATATGTAGTTTGCCAAATAAGAAAACCGATTAGATTAAATGGAATCGATTTATAAAAATATCAGATGAAAAGAATATATTAAATAAAAGCATCTTCACAAAAGCCATTTGCATTTATGGCCGCCAATAAATATTTATAGACACTTTAATTTGATTATTAAAAAAATTAAGAGCACAATTAGCGATATTATTTATTAAAATAGTAATAAATCAAACAAAATGTCTAGTTTGGCAAATAAGGAAACAGATTTCAATTTAATGACGTTAGTAACAAATATGGAAATAAATATTATCTGAAAAGAATATCAATATGTAATCATGGTGGATCTTAAAGCATAAATCTCAAGATAATCCCACAGCGTAATCGAAGCCATTACGTACATCCAATTACGAAACTGGCTTGAACTATAGCCAGAAGCAAAAGATAAAGTAACAAAAGAAAATCAGCAGAAGTAGACAAAAGGGAATAGCATTGTGTGCAATTTGAACCCTACACTTAACCCAAATCAAAACAAGTACCGGCTGCTGCGTGGAAAACGTGACTTGCTGGCAAAACATTACAGCAAGTGCAGCTTAGCTTTGCTTAAAGCAACGATCATCATGGTGGTAACCCTGATGAAATCAGCAAACTTTTCAAAACTAGAAGAAGACGAAGAAATAAAGAAAGAATCGTTTCCGCTTCAGCGGCAAGTCGCTGAAGATGAACGAATGGCTTAGAATCTAGAAATAGTTTAGCTATGACTACTACTACAACTACTCTTACTTTATATGCAGAGAGTTCTTTCACAACGATGAATGATCGTGCAGAATGTGAAACCAGTCTGTGCGAAGCTGCTCTTTTCAGTTGAAATCGATTTGCAATTAAGCTGATTTCACTTCAAGTGAAACAGAGATGGAACATATTTAGCTGGAAACTAAGACAATCGACTAATGATCTTACTACCGACCAAGACCTGCCACTTGATCATAAACGTAGTCAGAAGATAGCCAGAGAGTCAGTCATAGGTATTGATTGATGAGCGATACGTGAGTTGAGCAAGAGTTCGAATGTCGATCGTCGATCATTGTGTGGAAAGCTCAATTAAAAACTTGGAAAATTTGAGAAATATTTTGGATTTGTTGTCGGATTTTGTAATGAACAACAGCAACAGCAACATCTCATCTCGCTTCAATTTTGAATCTATGCTAAAGAACGTGAGATATATATACAAATTCTTCTTTTTTTTGTGGTTTACAGATTGCGTGAGAACTGCTCGTTGTGTATTGATCATTATGAGAAAATCTCTGTAGATTACGGAAATGGGTTTGGCTTGCTGTTTAACATCAAACCGACAGCAAACAAAAATTTAAATCAACTCCAAAGAATCCACAATTATTTACAATCGGTAGCCTTAATTGAAGCATTTGCCGCTTTCTTTCTATTGCGCGACTAATCACCATAATTCACAAACCACGTCTAAAGCTAACCCAAATCTTGAACTAGGCACGCACTCCAAACAAAAACAAAATCAAAAAATAAGAAGTGGTATTCTGAAGAATGGCAGAACAGTTAGACAAGTTAATCAGATCTCGGTTGTCT